CAAATTAATAGGTTTCTTCAATGAAAGTTTATACTTATTAAATATCTAACGAGCGCATATATTTTTTTTTCAACATCTCACAGTCCTATAACTGCAACAACAACCGCCTGCTTCTGTATAAGGCGTTGCAAATAGGAAAATTTCGTCGCACACAAATAAAAATGGTTCATAGTAATTATTTACTTACTCATTTATGCAATGCTTCAATCCACAAACGTATTATTTGGCCTTTTTTTTAAAGTCGAACTAAGTAATTGTAGCATCGCATCCTTGACCATTCCAAAACACGAGAGATATAGGTATATATACAATCGCACAAAGGATCATCGATAACTTACCGAAAAATATTTTTATTTAAATTACATTCAAACAACTTTACAATTTATCATTTTTTTCGATGTGGAATTTTAAAATTTTAGTGCTTTAAATTATTCAGAGGGTTTTTTAAAATTAAGTAAACATTTTTCTCTTAAATGCAATGCTACGAAAATTTAGTCAATTTCAAATAAATACAAAAAAACTGACAATATAGCAATATTGCTTTAGCACAATTTTAAATTTGATAATTTTGAATTGTTAAAGATAAAGTATACATTTAATTGAAAACCAAGAAAAATGATTACCGATTGGACAATAAGAAAAATCCTCACATTGACAAATACACGTGTGCAATTACGTTTATTATATTATTATCTTCGTTAGTGTTTATTTTTGCTGACAGGATTTATGTTTTCCCTACTTTTTGCGTATTAATATATAAATATATATAGATTTGAATTTTCTGTTAACAAAATATTATTTCGATTGTCAACAATATGTAAATGTTCATATTTTACTATTATCTGCCACGAAACTAAACTTTTATTCTCAATTTATCAAATACCTAGTTTTTATTGTGCACCTTCCTCTACTTTTAAAAAATAAAAAAAATAAAATTAAATTAAAAAAATTTACTGGAATTTGATTTGAATCGATGTTTACCAATACTGCTGCCGAAATGTCGAAAAAAAGTGAAGACGTAGGGTGTAGGTACGTATTCATAACGCAAAAACTATATACGTATGAAATCAACTGACTGGGTATTTTTTTTAATTTTATTTCGCTATGTCACATAAATGATGGAAAACTTTCATAATTAATTATTATTAAATTCTCACTAATATCAGTGAGTGAGGTGGAAAAAGGGGTTGTTTGGTAAACAGAAGAACCATCTATATTTGGAATGCTATTTTTCTATTTCTGGTACTCAACCACTACTAAAACTTGTGCAGAACACACGTTGTACTCGTAAAAATTATTTTTTTTTATTTTTACATGGACAGAATTTTTGTGGTATTTTTATCCATCTCAAAAAATAGACTAAAAGAACTTTCCTATTTTTATCGCTCTACTTGTTGATTATCTACGTAATAGATTTTCTAAAAACAGATAAATTTTTCCTTAGATGTCAAATTAAATAGGGTAGATTCAATAGAGTGTTTTCAAAATTTTGTTCAGTCCATTGGTAAAGACACACATATCTCTCACCGTTTATCTGTTTGTTTTAAAAAATCGTCATCCTAATCTTCAAATAGTTCAAACAGAAATATATGCAGTTGTCACGTAAGTTTGCTCAGGAAATTGTGTACAAATGTGTTAATAGTATAAAAATCACCTAGAAATTCTTAAAAGGTAAGTATACGAAATTATTAGTTTCTGTCAAAAAATTTATAGCGTGTGAGTGCATATTAGGTAGTTGATACTTTAGCTGGATGTATTGTTAGTTTAAAAAGAAAATTTTTTCTCATTATTTTTTTTTTTCTATAAATTTGAAAGGCACTAATGTATTTTTATTTATAAAACAAATTGCAATTGATAGTGCAAATAATAATAATAATTATTATTATTTGTGGGGATCAAGAAAATAAATCTGTTTTCAGTACCTACACTTGCATGTTTTTAAAAATATTAATACGAAATCAAAAGAAGCTTATAACTTTACAATGGGTGGTAATGTATGATTTCGTACTTTATGTAATGTTCATAATAGTTATCATGTGATTCGGAGCTTTGCTTACTGCCTAAGGTCATATATGACGAAGAAAGCGCTGTACAAAGAGAAAATTATTGTTTAATAAATAAAAAATACATACTTGTAAGAGAAGATGCGTATATAATTTGTCCGCTTTTCCTTTTGCCGCAGACTACTGTTTTACCACGCACCAGAAGCGAGGAAGAATTCTTCACTATCACTGTTTTTTGTTGGCTTTTATTTTATTACTAACACTGGTATCACCAATACGGTATGCTGATGAACTTTAAGTTCTTTCAGCTACTTTCAACGTTATGGAATCTGCAAATAAAACAAGTATTCAAAAAAGAGAAAGGAAAATCTATTTTGTTAATAAAACTATAAAAAAAATTTTTTCTAAGCATTAAATCGTATATAGTGTGAATGACATGTTGACTATCATTGTATTCAGTGATCTGGATTGTATTAACATTATTTAGTTGAAACAATACATTTTTTATCACTGATGTCATCAACTTGAAAGTACAAGAGAAGGCTGTCATTTGTGTGTTATATACTTATTACGAGCTCAAAAGTATGAAGCCATCCTATTTTTAAAGGAATTTGTTTAAAAGATACATGATATGCAATCGATTTACACTTTAAGAGTTTCCATGAGGTTAGTTGAAAGAAAAATGCATAAGCATGCAGCTCTACGAAAAATTTTTACTGAAATTTCTATGGAAATTCGCAAGTGTGCAGTATTACAAATTAATAGGTTTCTTCAATGAAAGTTTATACTTATTAAATATCTAACGAGCGCATATATTTTTTTTTCAACATCTCACAGTCCTATAACTGCAACAACAACCGCCTGCTTCTGTATAAGGCGTTGCAAATAGGAAAATTTCGTCGCACACAAATAAAAATGGTTCATAGTAATTATTTACTTACTCATTTATGCAATGCTTCAATCCACAAACGTATTATTTGGCCTTTTTTTTAAAGTCGAACTAAGTAATTGTAGCATCGCATCCTTGACCATTCCAAAACACGAGAGATATAGGTATACGTTCAACATTGGTAGTTGTTTCAGATGAACGGCCGCTTTATGCCGTAAACGTCGCTGCAACAGATTATATAAAATGTATACTCTCCTCCACCTCCACGTGAAGACAATGAGAGAGGGAGAAGATCAAAACAAAGCTCATTGATCCCGTTACACACCTACACGTGCAAAAAAGCGCGAAGGATTCTTGTGCGGCTTTTTTCTCGTTCTCATGTTATCGGAAAAGTTTTTTATTCATTCGAACACGGAAAAAAGCAACCGTTCTACCGGCATCTGTAGCAATGTACGCGTACTACTTCGACCACGATCAACCGATATATCATCGTTACACGAGCAACAACAATCGATGGAGTGAAGAATATGAGCAAGTGTCAACAATGCACGAACCAGCTTCCGATTGCTTCGGTGAGAATAATTTTAAGATCACTAGTGTATGTCTGTTTTGTTTTTACCGCTTTTCCCGTAATTTGCGTATATATATATATAATGTAAACACCACCCGTTCTAATTTTTATCCAATCCCAATAAGCTTGCTTTACGTTGTCGTCAATCTAACCTCTTAATTTTATAAACATTTTTGCCATTTTCTCTTTCGTTTATAGGGAGCGATGTTGAATCGGTCCAAATCCCCGCTGCTATGGTCAGTGATCAAGAGTCAAAATATTATGTCAATACCATCGATCAATCTGTTGGCAAAAACGGTAACAGTGCCCTAGACATAAGTAAACTAGTATCGCAGTCTAGTCAAGGAGTCTTGTCCGAAGAAGTAATCAAACTGTTAAACAAAGTGATAGAGCAAAACAACGACTTGACAAAATTTTCTCAGCTGCTGGACCAACTGAAGCAATCAAACAATCTGGATCTTTATAATAATATGCTGCCGGCACTGCCAGAACTTATTGGTACACTGCAGGATTTGGTTACGCTCAATTTGAGTCACAATAAGCTGACCGAGCTACCAGACAGTTTGAGTGCATTGAAGAATCTTGAGACATTAGATTTAAGTAACAATCAATTGGAAACTTTGCCCAATTCTTATGGTGATTTGAAAAAACTAAAAACACTCGACTTGTCAAATAATAGTTTTAAGATCATTCCTAAGTGTATCAGGGATGGAATGATCACGCTAAAAGCTTTGGATATCTCACAAAATTTGAATATTAGGATGAACATAATACCGTGCACAAAAAATTTGGAAAAATTTCATGCCAAAAGCAATGGAAATTGCAATAAATTCCCCGATTGGGTGATCACGCCAAAATTTTTTAAACTGAACGATGTCGATTTAAGTCGAACAAAGTTTGATGTGTACAGTTTTGTAGGTAAGGAAGGATTTTTGAATATCAAGTCGCTCTCGATGACATGTTCGAATTTATCAAATACAGTGTTGGACATGATGATAGAAAACATGGTGTGCCTTGAAAAAATGAACGTTAGTAACGAAGAAGACGTTATGGGTATCTCGGGAAATATTTTTAATGAAATGCCTACCCAACTGTTAAAGAACACACAGACAATGACAGAACTAAATTTTCGAGCCACTAGCCTTCCTTCTGTGACACCCAAGATTAATCAGCTGGTCAATTTAAAGAAACTTGATGTTGGTTTTAATTGCTTGATGTGGTTACCAGAAGAAATTTGTGCTTTAGAAAATTTAGAATGTTTGATTGTTGATGGAAATAGTTTATTTATGCTACCAGAAAATATTGGGAATTTAAAATCTCTTAAGGAATTGAAAGCAAACAACAACGCTTTAGCGAGATTACCGAAAACTTTTGAAAAATTGAGGGTTTTAAGATGGATTGATCTTTATGATAATAAATTAGAAAAGTTTCCTTGTGAACTTCTGAAAATGTCTAATTTGCAAGGATTGGACGTTGAGCAAAACTTTTTCTCAACGGATTGCATTAAAGTAGGTATTTAAAGATATTGTGATAAAGTCAATTTTAATAATAATAATAAATTATTATGAAATTTTTAGCTGGGAGACAAACCATACTCTGAGCTGTACAACACTTACTTAGCTTATCACAAAGAAAACTCAAAATTTATGTTTGATGAAAGAATTAAAAGTTATAAAAAGTGCGAGTCAATCAAAAGTGACAAGTCAATTCCTTCAGACAAATTTTGGTCTCAAAGCAGGTGATTATTTTTAGATTCTAAATTTTTTACTTTCATCTGGAAAAAACAAATTTTTTTTTTTAATAATGATTTCAGCGATGATGATGCCAGCGAAAAAAATTTCAAAAATACAAATGTTGATTCCGATAACGATTGGGATAAGAAAAATGACACGGATGATGAATTTGATCCTCAAGGTAAACTCATAAGGAGAAAAAATGTTTTTCTTGTTTTATTAAACAATTTTAATAACAAAGAACTTTTTATCGATTCAGATCCCAAAATTGTGTATGACAATGGAAAGTCTAAAAATTACATGTATCAAAAACCTCAAGGTTTTTGTCCAGAAGATCTTCATTTAAAAAGAATTAAAGCCGAAGTAGCATCCATGCGAGTTTATGGTTCACTACAAACATTTAAAATACAAGAAGGACAGTTTGATGATGCGTGAGAAGTCTTGTTTTCTTCGGTTTTAATGTATGCCAATTAGTTGTGCACTGCCAATATTACAGTTGAATAAGCGTAATGTAATTATAATTAGTACAAAAAGTTTTAGTTCCTACTGTTTTACTGTAGTGCAATTCAATCTAATCATGTCTGTGTAAAACACAACCCTGTAAAAACAATCAATTGTTATATTGTTAAAATGCTTTATTCAAATGAAGCCGTGCCTAAGAGAAGATTTGAAAAGCGATATTAAAGTCTCTCTTGCTGTACAAAAAACTTTTATTTTATTTTATTTTTTTTTTTTTTTTTTTTTTTTTTTTTTCTTTCTACTTGTAAATGTAACATTTGAATGAAATAAAATTTTTCTCTTTAATTTCTATCACAACATGGACTTATTTTCACAGATATCTGTTTTTGAAAACTTGAAGTCATGTGATTTTTGACCAAACAGTTTTTTGTCAATTACGCAAGTGTTAATTACCAACACTCGGCTTTTAAGCAGCAGCTTGTAGTGGTTATACCTACAGACACATTATCTCAGAAGGGGGGGGGTCAAATGGTTTCACAGTTTCAACCACTCAATTCAATCTTTGCTGAGTTTCCAAAATTAAAAAAGCCGTTTGTTGATGAAAAAAAAAAAAAAAAGGCTAACAGAAAAAGCCGGCAAGCGAGGGAGGAAGCGTTTCCACAATAAATCGTCGATTGAAATCTGAAAATGCCTCCATTCTCTTCGTCTCTCTCGTTAAATTTTCCGCGCGCGCGTACGGCCTTGTCCTCCCCGGTGGTGTGGTATCTTTCCTGGTCAAGGTCGCCTCCGCAGAGCCTCCCTCTCCAGTTCGGCGTCGGGAATGAGAGAAACGAGTAGCCTATAGCTACTCCTCTGCCTCCCCCGTGTGCTTATACCTATCTCCTCTCGCGCGCGCGATACATATTTTTTATGCACGTCGCTCAGCCGCGGACACTCTGAACAATCAAAGTTAAAGACGAGCTGCTTTTGTTCCCAAGTACATTTATAATTATTATGCACGGACATGTACGCGCGCATGTGATTACCCACAACATGTTTTGAGACTCGGGGATTTTTTTTTTTTTTTTTTTTTTTCATTCACGGTCAAACGATTTGCATTTTACAACAAGGCAAAACATGAGTAATTAACCATCACTCGGATCGATCCACCGCCGAGTACTCGTCGTACCTGCAACGAGCGACTCTGTGGATGACAATCAGACCGAGTAGAGAAACGAGCGTGAAAACAAGCACGCCCAACAGCCCAAAGACAATCCAATTGACCAGTACCCACAATCCATGGTCCTCGTTGCCAAGAGATTTCCCCGAGGTAGTCGTTGTCTCTGTCGATTGGCTAACAAAGAATGGGAAACAATAATCGATAAATCAATCGGACGCGCCCGGCAATTTTTGATCAAATGTCAAAGTAGTTCACCTCTCGGTGTAAGCTTCGGTGGTGACTTTGCCGAGCGGCTCGTCGACGACCCTGAGCAGGTCCTTGCTGAGCTCCGCGAAAACAGTCCTGCCCAACCAGTCGGCCAGGTCTTTCCTGCCGAGTTGGCGCAGCCTGCGCTCCAAGAGCTCGTGCGACCGGCCTCGGCCTTCCCCGAGGCCGTTATTCCAGTGCAAGAGGTGCCGCAAACAGGGCAGACTCGGGTCTACCTTTCGACCTTCCCAGCAGCGAGAATAAAATTAAAAATGCATGAAACACCTGCATCAGTCCGGACGAAAACGTAGATTCAGTCCTTACTTGCCTTGGCCAGATCATTGGGCAGCTCGAAGGAGTCGTAGTGCAGCGCGGCGGCGAGACTACGGCACTCGCGCGGTCCCAGCCGAGCAGCCAAGTACTCCAGCTCCGAGAGGTTAACATCTATCGTACCCTCGACGGGGACGACGTTTCTGCCACCCTCCCAAATCAGCAGAGCAAACGCGATGGCCAGCATTATCTCACAACTTATCGAATATACGTACATGTAACTCACTGCAATACAAATGAAAAAGCAAACAAAGTGTAAACGAGGGTTTTTTTTCTTCTTTTTATTATCGAATAAATATTTAAAAAAAAAAAAAAATACAAACTTACAAGTAGTGTTACCAATATGATGGTTAACAAGGATAAACAACAAGTGAAGCGCGCTCGTGGTTGTTCAGGTTCTCCGGAGCTTTTTCTTCTTGTTCTTTTTCCTGCAACAAGGCGAGCAGCCGACCTTTTTCGGTTTCTCCAGCGGAGGCTGGCTGTGGGCCATGGCCATCGACGTTCGACTGTCTTGTGTCCCGGTGTCGATGAGCCTCGCGGGGGCCTTGTTCTTTTTTTTACCCGACTTCCGGAAGATGGACGGCTGGTACGGGTAGCCGCCCTCCTCGGCGTCGAGCAAGCTGTGCGCGCGGGATTTTATAATTGCCGATAACGAAGAAGAAGATAAACGAGTCGCGTTTGTACTTTTGCTGCTTCGCCTTTTTCTTCTTCTTGCTTCCTGGCCAGCACTTTTTGAAACAAGCGACGATGCGTCTCCTCAGGTACAGCGCGCAACAGCAGGCAACTACGACAATGGCACCGAGGACCGAGAGAACCACGGAAACTCGCAACTTTGGGCACAGGTGCTCTGGAACCCCCCAACGTGTACATAAATATATGTTACATACTTATGTATATAGTGGCCTTCGAGTCTTCTTATATATACACTTGCCCAAGAGGGTAGAATCCAGCGAGGAACTCTTCTTTGATTTTTTCGTCTTCCCGTGCTTCTTCTTCCTCGGCTTCGTCTCCGACCCGCTGCTGTCGTCCACGTCAGTTCTGTACATGCACGTTTCAATCGCCAACGTCAACAACAAAAACCCACACAGTAGGTCTCCCCCAAACAAGCCCGACAATAAACAACGTGACTTTGCGTAAACTGCCTCGTCCTCGACGTCCTTGGGGCCGTTGTGCCTGGCCCGTTGGGGCTCGACGTCGAGCGGCAAATCTAACCTGGACTCTTTGACCGACCTCGGTGACTTCGCGGCCAGATAAGCCGACCCAAGCACCGGTCGCAGGCGCAACGGACTGAAGTAAAAGTTGCCCGTCGGCCCTGCCTTCGAGTCGCCGCTCACCATCAGCATGATCCGCCGGTCCTCCGATTAAACATTATACAAAGTTTCACATCGATCATACATATCATTATTTATACTACACTTAATTACCCGCTGAATATATAGCTATCGTTTTTTGTTCAACTCGTCCCTCATCGGCATCGCCGTTCTGTACACTCGCGTCTGAATCGTAAATCAAAACAATCTCTCCCGTTCATTCGTTAACTGACGATTACTTAATTGTTTGTCATCGAGATATTTTACTTCTTTACAGCATCGTATACGATATACCTAATAATGACAACATAACCATCCATCATGAGATCAATATGAGACCCCACTCACCCCACCATCGAGATGTTGTCTGTTTTAGTTTCGACGTTGTTGGACCCATTGGTTTCCATTTGCGTTTTTCAACATGAAAATTTCACGTCATTCGTCGGGGTTCATTGTGCTAATGGCATTACTGTTGGAGGTACGTATGGGTGCGCGATAAACATAAAGTTGTAACCTTTATTCCCCGATCCAAAACTGTACAAACGGCTCGTCCATCAATCGTGTGAGCACAGGGTGCCATCGATTCATCAACGGTCCAGCCGTCGTCGTCGCATCAGCAGCCGGCCGGTGCCATCTGTGACTGCAGTCTCTGGCGTCCCGACGTCCCTCCACGTAAGTACGCGCTATGAGCCACCGAAACACCACAGGTGGGCGCATAAAAACGGACATTGATTTTTCCAGACAGCGTCGACACCCCGGACGAGGATGCGGTGGGCCAACCATCCCCGGCGCGCTTCCTCCTGCGGCTGGCCGGGATGCCGCCCCACGACCAGTACCGTCGACGCCGACGCCACTCTGCCGGGCACGGAAGACGACGCAAGCGGAAACGGAGACAACCCGGTACCACTGGATTCCCGACCACCGGACCCCCCAGCCAGTAATGACCATCAATTTCGTTACCTCATATACACAGCGTGGTCAGACGCCCTTGTACATTTTGACTCTTTTTCTCTGCGTTGCGTTGCTTACCACCATCAGAGTCACGGCGCACGAAGTCATAACCAAGTGAGTCCACAACCACGCGGGCTTATTGTCCCAAGTATATGTTTCAGTATAGTCTTCAACGACAAAAAGTCTCGCTAAAGTCCGTGCTCTCGTCGACGCTAGCAGCAACGGTGAAGTTATTCCAGTCGGAGAGCCGATCGCCGACAGACGCCCCAGCCGGACGAGCGATCATCACGTGGCTCTGGCCGTCCTCGCGTGTCTCGCGGCCCTGGTGGCTTCGGGCCTACTGTACCTGTGCTTCTGGAGGAACTCGCGCCAAAGGCCTCCCTTTTTTTGGTAAGTATATAATACGCCTTTGAGTTCATTCGCGAGATAACGATAAAAATTGTGTCTAAGCCCGCCTGACATCGGAATGGAGCGCCACGACCTGGACGATCCGGAGGGTTGCACCTGCGGCTCCGAGGAGTCCCACGAGCCAGTTGCCACGAAGAAGAAGAAGAAGCCCGCGGCGGTCGTCAAGCCGGCGAAAAAGGCGAGGAGGAAGATCTTTGGTCGCAAGCCGAGGACAAAGGGCTCGGGAAAGATCGGCAAGGCCGAGCTTAGGGAGCTGCAAGACAAGATAGCCTGCATCGTGCGCCACCAGTGTGCCGGGTGCAAGTGCTGCAGGTGCGGTGCCGAGCCCGAGATCGGTAAGCAGATATACATATATACACACACACGCTTAATTGTACCGTAACCGTAACTATTGTTTCGTTATAGGCAAGCCGAAGCGCAAGGGGTTCAAGTTGTTTCGGAAGAAGAGCAGAGCCGAGCCGTGCGATGACGCAAAGTGCGACGAGAACAAGATCAGGTGCCTCGCCGATCTCTGCAGGATCAATTCGGAGCTCGACGCTCTGAGGGTTCTCAACGCGAGCGGGTCCAACTGCGCCGATTGCTCCACTAAGCTCGGCAAGAAGAAGACCCTGAGAATCAAAAAGTAAACGACGAGGATTCTCGAGTCGGTGAGTTCCGCTCGGTCGGTTTTTCGTTGCATCGAGCTCCTTGGCATCGTCGTGGTGGGCAAAAAATTGAAACGAGGGGCTCGAGATTGTCCCGGAGAGGCAAAGGGAATTCCTGGCCAAATAGCTCCGCTGGAACGCCGATGCTTGTATGGTAGCGCGGTGGGAGGGGAGGGGGAGGCAAAAGTTTGCTTCAAAGTCGGAGATGCCGGGCGCGGGATGAACCGCGAGGAATTTCCACGCGTAAATATCTGTAGCGCGCGGAAACTCTTTGGCACGCGCTACACCACAGCGTCGCGCTCACTGATTCGATCGTTGGCGTACACCGTGACGACCGGGTTCTTCTATATTGTTTCGTAAATACAATTAAATACCTTATTGCGAAGATTGTATAAATAATGTATACATAATTTTTTTTTGTTTTATAAGGAGGAGATTGCGTGAAGTTGGCGTAAAGAGGTTTTATGCATTTTACAATAAAATTTATTACAAAAACATGTTAAACGGAGCACAGTACAGAAAAAAGGTTTTGTTAAAAAAATAAATGTAGCGTTTTTGTATTGTATATATACTTGTTACGAATCCATACAATTATGTGCCCACACAAGTGTGTATGATTATTATTAATATAATATACATGCAATAGTCACCGAGTCATATATTCACGTAAGACGCGTTGAAAGTAACGTTGTGCAAGAGTTAGTTGGTTGTCATTGTTATGGTGATGCCTTGATTTGCCTGATGGAACCCACACTCCGAGAAGAAGCGCTTGAGACAACAAAAAAAAAATCTAGCAACTCGGAATAAACACAAGTCGTTACGGTTACCCGGGTGAGCATGAATATAAATATCCAATGAATCGATAAAGAGAGCTTTGAGCGGAATCAACTTTTTCACCCCGCAGACGTAGACGAGAGCATTACGGTTGTTATACGCATATACGATTGTGTCTGCATACTATTTTCAAATGGCATGTTGTTTTTTTTTTTTTCCGAGAAACGAACAAAAATACCAGGTCGACCTCTATTGTTGTCCCAGCGTGCAGGGCAAAATACAACAACCCCCGTCTCGACGTTATCTCTCCCTTACCTACGTGTGAATGTACACCACAGTGATGAATACAATGTGTGCTCTGCGCAAAAATAGGAGGATAAGGTGGAGAAGGAGGTAGGTACAGGGAAAGACTCGCGGAACATGAAACACGTGAAGGGGGGAGGCTGCGGTGGCAGAGAAAAAAGGGGGTGGCGCGCGTGTGTGTGCATGTGTTTCATATGCGGCCGCGATTTTATCGATCGGAGTGGGAAACTCGTGCTCTGTGGCTCTCTTTCTCGCGCTCGCGGAACAGTCGACTCGTATTCGCGGTACAACGCAGTTTTTCCCAAACGAATTCTTGTTTTGTTGTACGGCAACATGTTCAACGGGGACGAGTGTATTACCGCGAGGGCGCACTTGTACTTTGTTTTATTACGCAAATTTTCGTGCCTTTTTTTTTCTTTTTTTTTTTTTTCTTTATACTTTTGACGTGGGTATTAATTATTTACAAGGTCACACTTTGCTTCATTCGCGACAATGATATACTTACTTTGAGTAAAAAATCAATTGATCGCGTCGACCCGATGTACTCACGAAAGTTTGTTTTCTTTCAACTTTGGGATTTAAATTACTTACATTTTTTTTTTTTTTTTCCACAAATGCCACGCTTGAGCTTGAAAAATTTAACGCAGAGCAAAAAAAAAAAAATGTACATTTACGTATCTTGGTTCATTTGTTTAAAAGCGTTAGCTTGAACTTATCTGTACGTTACAGCGTACGTCGGGTCAATATTTAAGGTGCACCAAAGTATTCAACTTGATGTTCAAAAAGCTGAATACGATTCACTCTGATTGATAAAGCGCCTTGTACTAATTTGTTATTATTATTATTATTATTATTTACACATACACTCGTTACAAAAGAATATCGTCGTCGTCTTTTTTTCTTTTTTTTTAATATCATAAATAGAAAATTTTTAACTTTTCGGTATTAAAATACCACCTTCGATGGAGCTTTGTTTACATGGATAGTTAGGACTTTTATCAGTTAGTGTGTCCCATCACCGACTCAAAACAATTCGTAGTTGCAAGTGAGGATGAACCCAATGAGTACATATATATAGTCAAATGAAAGGTGCGAGATGACATGATTTTTTTTTTCTTCTTTTTTTCTTTTTTCTTGGGGCGCAAGCAGCGAACCGTTCCGCGAGAGAAAGATTTGTTAAACAGCGGGGACGGCGCTGAACATGCCGGTGAAAGCCGCGTCGAGGATCTTGCTCCAGGCCTCTTCCACCTCGGCCGTGAATTTCGAACCGAATTTCTGCTTCAGCACCTCCATCACCACGTCTTTCAGTTCCTGTAAATTCACGTTTTCATTCAAATCGTCGGCGCCGACTCTCGTACTATCAATCTTGCTTGATTGCCTTTTTTATTGGATCGTAAATTTTATTCCAACTGAAACTACAACGACATTATACACGGGACGTATACTTTTGGGATGACAATTTTTACGAGTCTTCTCGGGTAGGAAAAAATTCGTCAACGCGAGGTGTGCCACTTGAAAAATTAATCTTGGAAACTTTTCTTTTTTCTATTCTTATGGGACAATGAAAAAAAAAAAAAAAAAAAAAAAACCATTGTTTTTCAGGAGACTGTCAACAGGAGTGCATCAATCGCTCGTGTGCAGCCTGTCATGGATAGTTGCAATCGTCGTCGAATGAAATTGATCGCCAACGAGTTAAGCTACGTATCCGTTGGCGATCGCATCGGAAGGGAAGAAGAAAAAGGCTGTGTACACGAGTGCGACATGACCGTGGCATAATGGGCGTATATCTGTATGCTCGTGCAAAATATAATAATTCAACGATTGTACGCCGCGCGCGTCACTTTAGACGCAATTGAAACCCGCCCGCGCAGTGAAACGGATAGACGAGCCATTGATGCCGAGCACGCAATTTTCACGTACGTGCGACAATGGAATGATAATTTACGCCTCAACTGCTCTCGCGCGATGCGCTCAATAACAATAAGAATAATAATATTAATGTACCTCGTGCTCGAGAGCGTTTCCTCTCTCTCCTTCTCATTCTGCATGCCGTACGCGATACACTGCTTGCATCGAGGGTATAATATACACACACACTTGAATCATTGTGTCGGTCTGTTTTCTTTTCCACTCGATATCGCGAATACATTTTTTTTTCTCCCCCTTTTTTTCAATCGCATCATTGATGTACTACAGAAGCGAGCCATCGAGATGGAAAATAAGCTCTTGCGGAAGCTTTTCCAACTAATACCGAGATAACCCAAATACGCGTCAGCTCTATTATTTTGCTCGATCAACACGCGAGCTAAAATGTTTTTTGCCGTTAAATTTGGCGAGTTGTAAAAAAATGACACATATTCCGATAGTCGATTCCCTTTGTTTCCCCTCGATGGGCCGCAATTGTCACGCACGGGAGAAAGAAAGATATGCGCGGAGGATGTACAATATGATATTGTGTATCGTCGACTCACAAAGAATTGTTTCTTGGTCTGGCCGCGCCTGTGGTGCCTCTCGCCGATGGCCCCTAGGGTGGCCTCGAGCAGCGACGGGTCACCCATGGCATCGATCACGTTGCTCAGGGCCGACATGATGCTCTGGCAGTGGGCCTGGAACCTCTTGTTCCCCGGCAGCTCCTCCAACGGCACGTCCTTGAACCCGCTGAACAGCTTCTGGTAGTCGGGGTGCTCCTTGAAGTACCTGGGGGCCATTGATTAATACTTTTACTCTCGAGGACATTTTTCATTCGCAAATGGCATCGTCGTATCCCGATGCCCTCCGCGTTATTTTGGCTCGAGATGCCGGGTTCAGGAGAGGCAACAAGATTATAAATGTATTATACGATCGACTCACGCAATCATGATGGCCACGCCGTTGACTATCGGGTCCTTCCTGACGACGGCCCACGTGCTCTGGACTATCTTTTTTTGTCTGGCCGTGAGTCCTGTCGCCGGGTCGGGGGCCGTGCTCTCGCTGCCCCACAAGATACTCGTCGACGAGCCCATTGCCTGTACACACACAAACACATACACATACATACATACATACAGCTGATCGTTAGCGCCGCTCCAAAAGCCAATTAAAATGCAAATTGGCCCGTGCCCTCAACTTGCGGCTATATTGCAGTTTGAGTCAACTGCGTGCGTGGGAGCATAAAACCCGAGACAGATAGGATCCATTATGGGTCAAATGGTCGAACGAAATAGTAGTTTTCCTACGAGTTTGAAAAGTCTTTGTTTGCGAACCGAGAGGTTTGCGGCCCGAGCCGAAGGCGAGGTCCGTAACGAGGTTCGTAAAGGAGACTTTTCGAACGAGTATCGGAAAACTGCTTTTTTGCCCGAGGAAGTCCAGCCTCCCAAAACCACCCGAGGGCGGAAAAATACTTTACGATCGGCACATTAAAAGGAGAGCGGTTGCCGTGATTATGAGGATTATTTTTGTTTTTTTTTTCGCTATAGTAGAAAAAAAAAAGCTCCCCAATTGTTCGCAAAAGTAACAACCCGTATAAATATACGTGCCGTTCGAATTTGCTCTCCCGACGACGACGCGCAGACGCTTGGCTAATTTTAATTGCCAACACCCTCTGATTGGACCAATTAACGTGGTGCACTTTATCGCGCCTGATGATGTAGTGTGATCCCGTCGATTCCTCGTCATGCGTTAATATACAAGTATAGCGATTCGGCACTCGTGAAGTCGAAATTCTTCTTTTTTTTTTTTTTTTTTTTTCTTTTTATTCGATGTCACCGAGAGAACGCGATAATGGTAGCATTAGATGTTCTGTTCTGCTTAGATTGTACTTTATTATTATTCTTTTAAAAAAGAAAGAGGTGAAAAGCGGGCACTCAAGGGTGATTGAGGGTTGTTATATAGTTTGAAAAGGAAAAAAAAAATAGTTTACTTCCAACTGAAACTATCTCCACTGCCAAATTAGAGTAATGATTTGGTTAAATTTTCTGACGTAGTGACAGAATATTTTTACTAGTAGTTCTTACGAGTACGGTAATTTCAATTCCACATTTTACCGAAAAGTAAAATTTCTTTTTTATCCATGCGATTGAATGAAAACAGACAATTTTGGGAAAAAAGGAAATACTTATATTGCTTGACTTGACACGAGTACAGGTAATTGCAAGCTAAAAGTGGAAAAATATACAACTACTTTTCTTGGAGTATAACTCAGGGGACATTTTATGAAAAATTGCTTGTATTTTACGTTCAAAAGAAAACGTCATACCAACATGTAAGCTTGCTTTTTTTTTTTTTTTTTTTTTTTTTTTTTTTTTTTTTTTTTTTTCCTCAAACCTTATTGTCTCGAAACTATTTAGGTAAATGACGTGTCGCTTTATTTTTTACTTTAGAGAGCTACGAGAAACACAAGTACGAGTACCCGGTGCTGGCGAATATTGAAAATTACTTTTTTTCAAGTTAGATCACAAATAACTAAAAAAGAAAAAAAAAGGATCAATATAAATTATTCTGCCTCATGTTTCATTTTAATATAAAACATACAATGCCAGAGTTTTGGGTTTTCAAGTATCGAAGCACGTGATTTGAGAACAATGAAAGATAATTAAGAAATAAAATTAAAAAAAAAAAATTTATCTCAGAGCGAATTTTAGTTGTGTACGTCAACTACGGAAATAGACGGATTCAATTCCACGGAATGTGCTTGGAAAAAGTCTAGGCACGTACAATTTACTTGATTGGAAAGAGGTTTTTTTCGTTTCGAGCTGCGGCCGAGATGGAAAAGTCCTTTTTTTTTCTTTCCATCCATCAACCCATTCGGCTGATTGTACTCGGCTCTTACTACTGAGAAAAATCAAGGCGTCTGCCGGTGATATATGAGCCATTCCACGAAAAAAATCCTGTTTAAAGTCCCTGATGATCATTAAAGTTTGGGACACACGTTTGAGGATCCAAACTTTTATACTTTATAAGTCAATTTTTAAACATCAAATTAATAATGTGTTTAACACCGAAAATACCAGAAATTAATTAAAATTTTTTTTGTTTTTAATATCAGAACAGTAGGTACCACTGGCATGGCACTAGATACCTCTAGACAATGTTCTCGATAGTTAAAAAAAAATTTTTTTTTAAATCACTTTGTTCTTTAGTTAACGAATTACTAGGTTTGTAAAAAAAAAAAAAAAAAAAAACAAACAAAACTGTCCCTTTTACAATATTGCAAGCTTTTTATTAAAAAAGCTACGGGGTATGGTCAAAATAACTGATGACTGATTTTTTTTTTTGAGAGGGGGGGGGTGATTAGCGCACAATACTTTAAAACACCCGAAAAAGCTCAACAGCACGTACCCCGCGTTATTTAAACAATGCCAACTAGCATCCAATGTACCTCGAGAATAAACTTTGTATTGTAACGCAATCGTATCTAAAGTTTTTTTTAAAGGAACAGAAAATCGACAAGATTAATTTAACTATGGTATGGTTAAAAGTTACGTCGAAAGTGATTACAAGTGTAATCATCGCTTGAATTTGATAAAACACCACCGACGCCGTGTCGAAATAAAAAGTCACTTCGCAAGAGCAAAACGCAATATTCAAGTATAGGATTGCGGGGGACAAAAAAAAGCTTGAACCAACTACGAAAACAACAACTCAAATACCTCTTTGTGAACGATAAGATTAGGCACAAGGGCGATCTTGAAATTGAGATTTTCTCGATGTCCCACGAGGTAGCACTGCACAAAACGATATGGGTAAAACTTTGGTGGAAAAAAGTCTTCCCGATCAGTCGTTCGAAGCCAACAGAAGTGGGAAAGGGGAGGGAAAAAAAGAACGAAACAAAAAAGAAAAACGTAAATTAAAATGTAACTAAAGAGTAAAAAAAAAAAAATAGGCCTCCCGGGCTGGAGCCGATGCTGCACGATGTGGGGGAAAAAAAAAATAGAAATAAGAAGGTACGCGATAAGTGTGACAAATATTTACACGCGCGGGAGGAACACGCGTTATATACTCGCGATCAGCGGCGCGGCCGAGCGCCGAGTGCGAGATAGACAGGCCGCGCGTCTTTACCACCGCAAGCTCCCTCGTGCCACGTATACAGGCAAATTCATACATACGTATACACGCAACATATCGCTCAGCTCTTTACTTCTCCCTTTATACCTACACGTATGTACGTACATACAACCTCCGTCTCTGCGGTCTCTGGTGCCGGCTTTTTTGCGCAAGCACGCGTCGCGCAAGCTCGCTCTGTCTCTCCCTCTTTTTATTTTTTCCACGGTGCCCGCAGGCGCGTTAGATGCATATATTGTATTGTGCATCGCTACGGATGATTTTGCTAACAACTTGCGGTTTCCCGTTTTTACATACGTTGTTGCGTGTACGATTAAGTACAGAATCGATAACGACATTCGACAAATAAATATAGACAAAATTTGGTTTTTTCACCTGTGTAGGCATTAGCTAAGTATCTCGAGTCCCGTTGGGCTCAACGAGCAGATCTTGTATTCGCGATGGATCATGGATGATTTGCATCTTTTTTTTTTTTTTTTTTTTTTTTTTTTTTGTTCTGGTCCTACAAAACAATTTCTGAACTTGTATCGCATCGCTGGGAATTCGTCAATAACATATTTCTATCGTATGTAGATGTTGTTTCGAGAACCGATAATTATACTGTAAGACATTTGGTTTTATTCTATATCTGGTCATTGTGTAACAAATTTTTCGACTCAACGAGTCTTACTTCAAACCTCAATAGATTTTATTTATCAAAAATTATTTTATATTCATCCGTAACGATGCCCGAACAAAGAACAAAAGTTTCATTTCTTTTCAATTGATCACCTTTAAAATTAAAATTTAATGAAAAGTGTTACTTTTGTCAATGTTAAGTTTTTTTTTTTTTAATCTCCATTGTGACGAATCTTTATTAACGTCTGACATGTACACTTATTATTTTAATAATGAATATTTAAAATGTATTCAGATTTTCATTTGAATGATGTTTTTACAAGTCTTACTTGCAACTGCTTGTACGTTTTTTTTAAATTTCCGATCACGTTCCGTCCGTTTGAACAATAAATTTTTCCTAACTGAAAAAAAAACAGTTTTTTCAACGAATGATTTTTTTCTGTGGAATTTTTCCTGTACTCAAAAGAACACGTGAACGAAGGAGAAAAAGCAATAGAGACGAAAAGGTGCAGGTGGAGTGCACCTTAGACATTTCGAGCTTTTGATCTCGACTAGAGTATCAGACTCTTGTCCCCAGCAGACTTAGGTGGTTACTCTAATTTCATTTCTATCGCGCTACATAGACTCGCGTACAACCAATCAATGCATTTTTTTTTGTTTTTTTTTTTTTTTTTTTTTTTTTTTTTTTTTTTTTTTTNTTTTTTTTTTTTTTTTTTTTTTTTTTTTTTTTTTTTTTTTTTTTTTTTTACTTTTGGAAAAAATTAATCAAACTCCGCCAGCTACACAGCAAATTGTCCGACATGTTCAATTAGAGGCACGATAGTTTCTCTAAGTAGGTGTATGTGTGTCATGTTTTGCCTAGAGAAAAATTCGTAGGTGAGATTTCATAAAAAGCTTTCTACATCAATTTAAGATGTAGTCACATCAAGCTTGATTTTATTTACTGTGGCAACGGTTCAAGAATTATTTTGTCAGACTTTTAATTAAATTGTAATTAATTTATATATTTTTTCGCAGATTGCATTAGTGTTGGGTATAAGGTATATGATATAAGAAATCTTGTATACTCCAACTTGAGTTAATTAAAAAAAATGACAGCTGATTCACCAACAATATTCAATAATATTGAGTTGATGAAATAAATGATTAAAGTAAATGACATAAATGTGAAAATACGTCAAACAACTTGTATTGCTTTTTTTTGTTTATTTTTTTGTTAATTAAAAAGTATTTTTCTATTGTAACGGTCTTGTCGTTTTTTGTTTAACGCAAAGGCGCATCAGCACTTCGAGCATACGTTGATTGTTGAGTGGATCTTGAGTTTAGTTTTATTTACTTATCACGTCTACGGTCATCGGTTAAATTATTGATTCGTTATTTAATTATGATTGTCAAAATGATGTCAGCGTTATTTACAAGATTTATTTACAGGATTACTTTTATGTAGGATTTAAATTTTAAAAAATGGATAAAAGGAGATTGCAAAAAAAAAAAAAACAATATTCATGAAAATATTAAAATAATAGTATTATAATACTTGATAATTTTTTCTCAAAGGATAGGTGAGTGAAAAAAAAATGAACCGGAAAGTATAAAAAACCTTCTCTAAATTTAAATGAAATCGTTTCAGTTTCTCTAGCAGTAAATAGCAGCGATAAAGGAAAGCCGCAGCATGGCAAAATTAAATTTCGCGCGCGCGGTCTTATCTATATTTTTTTTATAGAGCAGACGACTTTTGTGAAACTTCAAACGTCTCAAAAGTTCAAAAGTTTGTGTCTCTTCCTCCCACATTCGAGAGGTCACTTTTCGACTCTTTTAGTCTTTTGTTGCTTATAGGAATTAATTGTGTCTTTTTTTAATCGAGTGCATACATTAGTCACTTTTTTCTACCTGTTGCTTCGTGTATTTTTTAATGGTATTTTATAAGTTTTCATTTGCTTTTAAATAACTTTTGTTCTGTTGAAATGTTAAAAATATTATTAAAGAGTATCCAGTCATGATTTTAAAACACCTGAAGTATTAAATTTTCTTGATAAAAAAGTCGGATACCTACTCTTTTATGTATTTATAAAATTATATAGGACATGTATGCATCAATTGTCAAAAATAAAAATTTTACTGAGGAGTGACGTTATCACGGAAATCTTTAAAATACATGAATACATAAAAAAAAATTCATTTAGAGTTGTCATAAAATTATTTCTTTACAGGTGTCATTATCCTTTATATCGGCGTAGTCATTTACGTTTTGCTGGTGACAACTTTCACAGGGTTTACCTCCATTTCAAAGGGTTATTAATGATAAAATAGTAAATAGTTTATAACAGAAAAATGGCAGCCCCTCCACCAGATCCTGTCTACGTTATGAAAGGGACCATGGGTCCCGTTCATTGTTTGCTATTCCGCATTTCACCTCACTATGAACACATTTATGCAGGAGCTGAAAGTGGCTCGGTGCACATTTGGGACTTGCAAGTAAGGCAATTTATATATCTGCATTATGTAAATATTAAGGCAATTTATATTATATCATAAAAAAATATTTCGACTTTTTCATTCTATTTGTTGTAGAAAAACAGAGAATTGTTGAAATTGAATTCATCAGAGGCACCTTGTCATGGAATACAAATTTTTGGTGATGAAAATCTTGTGACTCAGAGAAAAGGAGGTGCACTCAATTTTTGGCAAGCCCATGATTCTCGGTGGGAGGTTACTAAGACTGTTAAAACGAATTATTATGCTTTTTGTCGGTCTGTTTGAAAATAGTTATCCATTGTAATAATATTTTTATAGTACTTATTATAAAACGTCTGTTTAGATGTCAAAAATCAACAGAAAATACTATGTTCATACCTCTGAATAATTCAAAAATTGGTTTGTTTTCCTTGAAAACGTATGAAACAGAAATAGAATTGGATCCTCTCAGTTTTCCAGACATTGATAAGCTCGGAGATGTTATGGCAATGAAACCGTGTTTGGATGGATTTAATTACGTACTTGTTGCCTATGACATTGGAAAATTACTATTGTGGGATATAAGATCCAAAAAGATTTTATCATCCCTAACTCTCGATGCTTGTCCTATGACTATTGACTTTAACACATCTGTAATGAGTGGAGTTGTAGGAACTCCTGAAGATAATTTAAATGTAAATAACTGTTTTATCCCGTCATATACATTATTTGTATTTTTTACTTCTAAGTCCTTCTTTTTCAGGTATTTTCACTATCACAAGATCATAAGTTGTCTAAAAAGAAGGTAATACCTCTAAAAAATCCAGGTACTTCAATTGTTACTATGAGGCCGGATATGAGAGTATTTGCTGCTGGTGGCTGGGATAGCAGAATAAGAATTTTTTCCTGGAAAACTCTCAAAGCATTAGCTGTTTTGGATACACATAAAGATACTGTCTACGACATTATTTATTCAACCAGTAGAGTTGAAGCCTACAATAGCAATTGTATAATGGCTGCTGCTGGAAAAGATGGAACAATATCTCTTTGGAGCCTTTATAACTAATTTGAATACTGACTGTAGAAAAAAAAGCACTGTGAACACTGCTTATTTAATAATACAAATATTTTTTTATAAATATTTAATAAAATTTTTATACTAGACTAGATTTGTAAAAACGTTTATTCTATTTTTCATACTTCATTGTAATTTAATCATCGTATTAAATAAAATGTCAACTTAATCTTCCTTCAATAAAAATTTAAATGAAAAATTGACAACAGTGCATGAAAAATACTTATAATTTTATTGAACCATCATTTTGTTACCCCACAGCTGGATTTAAACTTTAAAATATTAACAAAATACCTTAAACTATCAATAAACAAACTGTGTTATTAAAAATTTTCATGCTGGAATTCCCAGAGTTTTGCAAACTAATTTTTGAGCGATTTTCTCAAATTCTGCTCTGTCTTCCCTCCACATTTTTGCAGCATCAACATTGGCACCACTTTCATCGTTTGGCTCAGCTAACATGCTCACAACACTCAACAGAATTTTTTCAACGCTTTGTACAGGACTCCACCTTTCGGCACTACTTTCATAGCCCATGGGATCATCACCAGGAGCGTGTAATATACTGATGCACACTCTGCCATCCTGATAAACTGAAAAGATACAATGAAGCTTAGGTTCAGGTTCTATTTAATTTTTCAATAACACAGCTTACTATTTGGATGAAAAATTTCGCAGGTGAATTGCATTTTTGGTGGACTTAGCGGATAGTCCGGGGGAAAAGTTAGCTTGGCTGGAAAGACACCACCTTCAAAGCATGTTCCCTCAGGTCCTCTGGAACAACATATTACTTCAAGCTTAAAAATGTCGTTGTTAATGTGTGCACTTTTTCTAAGTTTTACCAAACTTACGAGATTAAAGCTTCCCATTCAAAGAAATTTTCTTCATTTACTGGGCCGGCAATTATTCCTTCAGGGGGATTTACTGTCAGTTCTGCAATTCATTAAGTACAATTAAACATTGATACTGTTGCTCCAAAATAAGTGTTCAACATAATGTTGTAAGTCATGTTACGTTTGTACTCAGCCATTAAACGTCGTAAGGCTGAACCTGCCATTTTTTACGTATTAAGATTTTTTTTATTTAATGATAAAAACCGTAAAGGATGATTTATTCACCTGTACGTGAATACATATACAATACGCACACAAAACAATGGGCAAACTGTCAAATCAAAGGTTATGTCACAAATTGTCACAATCAGCTGATTTTTGTCAGTTCGTAATGTGGGCGGCGCAAAAGCATAGAAATTTATGAAAATTTATTGCTATCGGCTAATCCCATTCAATTGGAAGTAAAAAAAAAATAATAATGAGAATAGAAAAAAAAAACTTTTATTGCTAAACAGTAATATTTTATTTACACATAATCAATTATTTAATAAATTTCTATAATCGTAAAAATTTTTTATTCACAGTTCTGTTCAAGTGCACTTTCGATGGTACTCAGCAGGCGCCACGCCAAAGTCCTGAAGACTGAAATAGTCGCTACTGTTTTTATGAAGGAACCTTAAGAAGTCATGAATATGTGTAAGAAGGAACTGAACACTTTTTTCATCCAATGGAGTGTATGCTAGCATACCTCCTAGTTTAACTACAAAATTTTTGTTGCAAATTAATAAAAGTTGTTTATGAATATACTTTAAAATAGATATACTACATGTTAATAATATTTACCAAACAGTCTTAATAAATGGAAGGCTCCATATATTTGGCTAGCTGGTGTGTTTGGTTTTTCATTCATAATTTCTCCATATTGTTGTCTTTCCCACCTGTACAAAAGTTGAGTTCCTAGCATTACGTTGAAGTATTCACGCAACCCTTTTGTCACTTCCAAAACAGCGTTTTCTCTGTTTCAAAAAAACACCTCTTGGTTACAAGATTGATAGACACAAGTAATTTAAGTACTTGAACTTACTTGTTAGGGGTGTTGGTTTTACTCGATGTTTTCAATTTGACATAATCATCTAATATTTTGTCAACCGTGTGTCTAGCGGGTAATATTGCCAATTTTCTTTGCCTACTTAGAGCATCCCAGTCATCAACAAGCCACGGCTTCAATTCATGCGGGATTTTGACTCTGATTTCAACTTTTGTCAAAAACTGCTCTTCTGTCTCGATGGTGGGATCAATTCGGCTGAAAATAATGATGTATAGAGGCTTAATTCTAATTCAAAGAACATGTTATCAGAAAAGTAGCCTTTCTAACCTTCGCTTTTTTTTTGGCCCATCTGAAGACGAATCATTTGACGTTGGTGTGATGGATCCGCTATTTTTTTGTATTCTAGTACTGGCTTTGTCACTTGAAAGAGTTGGGGTACTACATCTACTTTCCGATTCTTTATCTTTAATTTCACGATTTTTCAAACTCACTTTGCAAAGAGTGGAAGTAGACTTTTTTGCTTTTTGAGCAATGAGTTGAGTCTCGTGTGCTTTTTGAACATCTTTTTGACGCTGTACATTGCCATCATTATACTTTAAAACTCTACTTTCGGGAACCCATTCATCCCAACTGAAAATAAAATGCACATTCGTGATTTTCTGTATCAACAATGCTTGAAAAAAACAAATGAAAAATCTAACTTTTTGTTCCATCCAGCATAGTGTATAAGATATTTAATTTTTTTTTCCTCAGTCGCATTGACTTTTAAACACTTAGCTTCGTAAATCAATGGTCCGTGAAAGCACAAAACGCGTTCCCCTAAAAAATGTTTAACAAATTTTTCGGTGTATTTTTCTTGTCCAAGTTTTGTAATGAATTCTTTAAACAAAGACGTAACTCACCCTCTTGAAATTTAGCACTCGAACTGTTAGGCATGCTGTGCAGATACTTTTAATTGTCTATCAATAAATGAGACTCTATCTCGAACAATAATCAACAAACGCACGAGACGACGTAACGTAAACTGAACGTAAACAATGAGATTTGACGTCCATCTTGGCGCCTATAGAATCTCGAATCTTCTGGGCACATTTTTATGAGATGCAATAAAAATGATTTGTGCTTCCATGAGTTAATGGTAAAAAGTCTAAAGTGGTGTAATTTTGTAAATACAATCGATTTTATAAGCCACAGAAGATAAGTAGAATATTAATGGTTTTGGAGGTCGATTTTTGGGTAGAAGATAAATTATAAACTTGCCGCAAATGACACAAGCAATGTTAACTTTTTTATTTTATTCATACTAAATTAGTTGCGGCTGGTTTATAATTAATTAAATGGCTCTAATATAAGAAGTAATAATTATTTGGATCAGCGCCATCTAGCGTTGCGAATTTCTGAACTAAAAAGTGGCCCTAAACTTTTGTCTCAGAGCTTTAGCGCGTAGAGCCATTTAATCAGTTATAAACCAGCCGCAACTCATGATGAAGCTATAAAATGAAAAAATAACAATACATATGTTTTTAGCGGCAAGTGAACAATCTATCTTTTGCTCGAAAATTTATCTTCAAAAGTATAAATACATAGGGGGTCGATTTTTTGGTAGAAAATAGATTGTTAACTTGCCGCCAAAAACACACATATCGTTATTTTTCTATTTTATAGCTTACAAGATAAAATGCGGCTGGTTTATAACTAACTAAATGGCTCTAGTCCTGAATGCTCTGATTAAGAATTTTAGGAGCCACTTTTGGCCAAAAAATAAAGACCGCTAGATGGCGCTGATCCAAAATAATTATTGCTCCTTACAGTAAAGTCACTTTATTAGTTATAAACCAGCCGCAACAAATCTTATGGATACAAATAAAAAAGTGAACATTTTTTGTGCTACTTGCGGCAAGTTTACAATTTATCTTTTACCTTAAAATTGAACTCCCAAACCATCAATATTCTACTTATCTTATATGGCTCATAAAATCGACAATATTTACAAAATTACAGTACTCTTGACCTTTTACCATTAACTAATGAAAGAACAGCCCTTCAACTTTAGATTTCCAATAAACAGTTAACTTATATAATATGTACATAGCAAAATTTGTGTTACAGAAATCTTGAATAACGATCAAATACATACGTAAATTAATCAGTTTAAAAGAGACAACTGAAGAAAAAAGGTCTTAAAAAGAAGCAGTCACACGAAGAGTCTCCTAGGAATGGAGCATCGGATCTCACTAATTGAAAAATACATTTATTACAGAGATGTAAATTTTAAGTGTTATAAGTAAACAAAGAACCCAACCTTCTCTGACTAAGTAAGATCCAATGCGGCAAGTTTACAATCTATTTTCTACCCAAAAGTCTACCTCCAAAAATATAGATATTCATATGGTTTAATAAAATCGACCATATGGCATTACTTAGTAGTAATTACGTTAATTACTACACATAACTTTACGTAATCTTACACCGTGCTTTCTTTACCAGAATAATAAAATCAGAGGCTGTAAAGTTACGTAGGTCGTGGTGGTAACGCCGCTTGGAATGTTTTCCGCAATTGTCGTCACCAGCAAGTAATTTAAATTTGCGCTTTTCGTTTAATTATATTCCGAAATCTAGCCAGTTAAAACAGCAGACGACGTGAAAGTCAAGAAAAAAGTGAAGATTTCATCGCTGTTGACAGTCGTCTGCTATTTTAACTGGCCAGATTACGGAACAGAGCGCAGTTTGATTCAAGGTAGTTGACTTACCGATCTGACGGTAACGTAGAGCGTAACCTTAAATTACTTGCTGGTGACGATTGCGGAAAACACCCCTAGTTTAAAAACACAACGCTAGATGGTGTTGCATCAATAGAACTCTGCCGTACCGACGGTCATATATGCGTGGGAAGAAATACCTATTGGTAAGTTGAGCGTCAGTACGGCAGATCACGACTTCTGCATCAGTACCGACACCACGGCTTCTTCTGGCAGAAAACCCTAGGTGAATATATATATGGCAACACTAAAATCTAGGGTTTTTTTCTCAAGATGATTTCCCCTAGATAGAAAGTTTCCGAAAATCACAACGCTAGATGGCGTTGACAACAGACTGAATGAAAGATGAGTAGACTATAGGTACTGAATAATATATTACATTATCGTCATTTGTCGAAAAAGAGACATGAATCACGGAATCATAGCGCGTAAAGTTCTTAAGTAATAATATTTAATTTATCAAATTTTAATTATTAACTTTTAATCAGCCATGAAGAGAGATAATGTGATTACAAAGAGAAAATAGTAAGTTACTTTAGTCATGGTTAAGTTTTCGTGTTTTCAAATCAAAAATTAAAATAGCAGTAACTGTTTCATTCCTTGCTTTTCTTTTTATCCTCAAAATACTAGTTGATTTACTCATTTGTTATGTAGTTAATAACTGATAGTTGTACTTGAATTTTTGAACCTTCAAGGATCATAGAAATATGAGAAAATACTGTTTACACTTAGTTGAGCAGATGTTATAGCTATTGTTTTAAATTACTTTTTTTCTTGATCTAAAATTATTGAAAGAAATGCACCAGTAATTGCCATATTTGAAGAATGAGAACAAATTCGTATGTGAATTATTGTAAAATTTCAGAAACAAGTGTATACATAATTTCTTATGTGGCAATGCTAACTATTGAGCATCATCTTTCTTTTAGCTACTCTCTGGAAAGCGCAGATACAGCAGATTTTCTTGAAATAAGGCCGCCCCAGGCAGTGGTGCAACATCGCAAGTCAGCTTCCCATAGTCATCACAGACATTCTACTCGTAATTTAGATGGCAAGGAACGCAGTGGTAGATCGTCATCATCCACATCTACAACGTGGGACGTAAATGATAGTAGTGCACATTACAGAGATCGCAGCAAAAGTAAGCATGACAAGAGGACTAGAAGATCGGAACCTGTTGAGCGAGAATCAAAGTCCTCCAAGTATAAGAAGGAAAATCAAAGTACGAATAGTTGGTCCCCTACAGATCTTGGAGAAAAGTAAGTTCCAATTCATTTACTTATATTGATGGGTTCATATACCATTTTATAGGCGATTCAATATTTTTTTATTTACTGTCAGATAATTAAGACGTGTTTACATGGCATTATATGCATCAGCCACATAATACCAAGAAAATGTTCCTGTACAAAGCTGACATTGAAAATCTAATTAAAGTATAATCTTAAGTTGAATACTTTATTGTATTGGTACTTAATGACTCATTGATCATTCATTCACCATTAAATAGGTCTAAAACCCATTCACCTCATAGTTTACACATACGATGTAATAAAGATGAGAAATCGAATCGGTGACACAAAATTACAAATCTGTTTCTCTACCTACATGGATGGACATCATATAGTTTTTTCATTCATATTCGTTTTTGGACAGAATTTGTACACGAAAAACTATTTTTAAATAATAGTGGTGATTCTTTACTCCAGTTATAATTTAAATAACATGGACTACTCTTGCCGGGTGATAAGTACTATTTTTTTGACTTGCATCATGTAGCCACTAATATGTTTTCTCCGTCATTCAGTGGTTAAGTTCTTTTTTATCTTTAGTATTGCCAAAATATCATTATTAATAAAAGTCATTACAGTAAAATTTTTTAAAAACTAAATTTTGTAATTCAGTTTTTCTAAACTTTCAGATTTTCAAATGACCACCAAAAAAGGTACAATCAAAGTTGCTTCTACGACAAGAAATCGTCTTTATCACATGTCAGTCGTAGTAAAAGACGTGAAGTGCCACGTGATCATCCTGATATGATGGATAGAATTCAAAATCTGAACGTGACATCATCTTCAATGCAAAAGAAGGAACACAAGAAATCGCATAAACATAAAAAAACAAGAGATCGTGAACATGAAAAAACAAAGAAAGAATTGGGTAAGTGAAAACAACAAGATTAGTGCTCTTTAAATGATTTAAATTGATTTAAAACATATTTATAACTTTTTATAATTTCTTCAGTGTACCAAAAAAAATTGACTCAAGAGTATCAACAGAAAGAATTCCAAGTTACAATGGATCCAATAAAGCATGCATCCATGAAAACGTCCATAGATTCAAAATGCGAGCAACAACAGTTGCAATTAGTAAGAGATTCACTAAAGAAACAAATAGAGGTATCCCATCAAATTGACGAAGAAATTCGTACAACGTCGAATGACAATCGACAACATAGTCCTGAGATCAGTCAACATTTGCATAACTCGATTGTGGAGGTATTCAATAATAGTTTACACACAGCCAGCCAGTCAGACAGTAACAGTCCTAAAAGTAAGCGTTCGCGTATGTCAGACACAGATCAGCAGCGTAAGCATTCAAGAAGCAGCAGCAGCAGCAGCAGCAGTAGCAGCAGCAGTAGCAGCAGCAGTAGCAGCAGCAGCAGCTCTTCAAGTTCCAGTTCTACTAGTACTGATGATGATGACAGCGATACTTCTGATTCCACAAGTTCTGATGATTCAAACAATAATCTAAATTCACTGTCAATCGACCAATTCACCAAGTCGGGCAAATCAAACGGTTGTTCACCTGCACATAATGGTACCAACGGAATCTCCAAAGACGATCTAAAAATGGATCTCCAAGTCGAACTACCTCCTTATATTCCTGCTATTCACGGGTGTAGAAGCGTTGAAGAATACAAGTCACTAAATATAATAGGAGAAGGTACTTATGGCATTGTACACAGAGTTCAGGACAGACGCACAAAAGAAATAGTAGCTCTAAAACGTTTGAAAATGGAGAAAGAAAAAGATGGCTTTCCCATTACAAGCTTGCGTGAGATCAATACTCTGCTGAAGGCTCAGCATCCCAACATAGTCACAGTGCGAGAAATAGTTGTTGGTAGTAATATGGACAAGATATTTATTGTCATGGACTATGTCGAACACGACTTGAAGTCTCTCATGGAAACGATGAAAATGAAAAATCATGTTTTTATTCCCGGGGAAATCAAGTGCTTAATGAAACAGCTACTGGCTGCTGTAGCTCACTTGCACGACAATTGGATACTTCACAGGGATCTTAAGACCTCTAATTTGCTATTAAGTCACAGAGGTATTCTAAAGGTCGGTGATTTCGGTCTAGCCAGAGAATATGGATCGCCACTGAAGCAGTACACATCTATTGTCGTGACGCTTTGGTATCGCGCACCTGAATTGTTGCTTGGAGCTAAAAAATACAGCACGCCAATCGACATTTGGTCCGTAGGGTGAGTAAAAAAAATTTACATATAACTATAAAGGTATATTAAAATTGATAATTTCTTACGTATTTTTATAGGTGTGTTTTTGCAGAACTTGTACGCATGGAACCAATATTTCCAGGAAAGTCAGAAATGACTCAAATAAACAAAATTTTCAATGAATTAGGCACTCCAACTGATGAAATTTGGCCAGAGTACAGTAAATTGCCTATGGTAAAATCGATAAAATTTCCTACCTATACCGTGAGCAATTTAAGACAGCGTTTCAATTCGTCATTATCTGACCTGGGAACCAAATTACTCAGCAAGTTAGTTACCTAATTTTTATCATTATTTTATTCATACAACTTTTTCTTTAATTTTAATTATAAATTTTACAGATTTCTGACATATGATCCAGCTCAGAGAGTAACTGCAGAAGAGGCATTAAAGCATTCGTACTTCTTAGAATCACCTCTACCTATAGATCCAGCCATGTTTCCTAAATGGCCAGCTAAATCAGAGTTTGGTTCGCGAAAAATTAATGCGTCTCCACAAGCACCATGCGGTGGTAGAGATTTTATGGCACTTAAGGAACAAGAAAATGAAGATATGGAGTCTCGTTTTCACATGTCAACAAGTACTCAGTTACCTGCTGGCGGTGGTTTTCACTTAAAATTTTGATGATTTAAACTGGACAGCATTTGAAGGCGTCGTTTATTGTACCTGCATTATAATGTTGCAACCAATAAATTTTGAATAAAATAAGACTGTACATATATACGTTAATTAAATAAAAACTATGGAATATTTTTTTCATCAACTCTTTTGTTTTAGTAAAATAATTCGTTTCGTTAGAAATCAGATATTTCTACGTATATCAATTAATGAATCATAATCAGTCGGATAGGATATTGTACAATTTTGTACGTAAATATATATAGGTATATTAAATATATAATTATTAATACGGCAAATCTCGTCAGCAAGGTTAGTTCAGTATGAAACTGTGGTTCATTCGGTTCAAAACACAGGCCACAGACGCGCTAGTTTAGTGCAATACCTCTGACGGAGGCATTCTTGTTTGTTAGTTTGATTTTATACAAATTTTGTACAGTAAATTTTATTTTAGTTTAATGGAATTGTAAATAAATTTTTTCTGAATAACGAGTGATAAATTGGACATGGATATAGACACACAGAGCGAGGATGGAGAGCTTAAGAGAACTCCGGAGGGATAGTAAGTGCAATGTAATATTCTGTTTATAGGTTAAGGTATCAACAGCATACATCCTTTTTTTCAAACAATTCTTTTTTTATCATTAAATTTATTGAAAGCATTAATACTCAAGTAGATGTAACTAATATATACATTGTTGCTTGAATTAATCGACCACATAATATTTTTTGAAGTCTGAATTTATACATGACAAGTTTGATATGGTGACATGTAATGCTTGATGTTACTTTTATAATTTGAACAAAAAATTATAGTTAGTGTTGTGATTTTGTGAATACCACGCTGCGTACTGTTTTTACAAAAACATTTGCTCAAGTTTATTCTACTTATGATTTTTACTCAAAAAGTACAATGAAGCCATAAGATGTACGCTGTTTTAAATTATTTTACAGTAGCCCATTGTATTATAATAAGAAATCTGTAATGATTGGACAAAAATATCCAAATAAACATTCATATTATTAAGTAGACATGAGACTTTAATTTTCAATACATTTCAACAATATACTTGTAGGAGCTATAGGAGGTCGATTTTCGGGTTAAAGATAAATTGAACCCTTGCCGCAAACATCACAGACAATGTCAACTTTATATTTAATATACATGAAATTAGTTGCGGCTGGTTTATAATTGATTGAATGGTTCTAGGGCTGAAAATGCCTAAAACTCTCCTTGAGAATTTTAGGGCCACTTTTTAGTTCAGAAATCCGCAACGCTAGATGGCGCTAATCCAACTAATTATTACTCTTACAGTAGAGCCATGTAATCAATCATAAACCAGCCGTAACTAATTTCATGTATATTACATATGTTAAGTTGACATTGTCTGTGATGTTTGCGGCAAGGGTTAAATTTATCTTTAACCCGAAAATCTAACTCCAAAAGTATAGATATTCTACTTGTATGGTTTAATAAAATCGACCATATGGCACTACTTCGTAGTGATTAGTATAATTACTACACATAACTTCACGTAGATCTTACACCGTGCTCTCTTTACCAGAATGATAAAATCCAAAGTAAATAAATGTAACGCAATTATATAAGCTGTACTTAAGTAAATGAAATAGAAACCGTCTGCTTTACAATTTGTGTGCGCGCTTTCGTGCTCTCGTACATATATATATATATATATACGTGCAGTTTCGTGCAGACCGGGCTTCCGTACGCATCAGTTCAAGTTCAATGCTTCAACATTCGGAGCACTGGCTGACTTGCTCTAGCAAACAATTTTGTAACATTTGTTGCAGTTTTCTCAGTATAGGTACATGTTTGTGATGTATGGTGCATCTATAAGTATTAAAGGCTTCATGAGAAAGTAAATTCGATTGAATATACTCACTTCTTATTTGATAAATAAATAAAGAAAAGCGATGTGTGCAGTGCAGCTATCGTACTCTTAATCATGTACAGTGTATGGGTTCACTATAGTGTCTATTGTAGTGTATACCTATAGGTATGTTGAAAAATGCCAGCAGTTCGCAAGTCCATTTCAAGGTAATTTCGTGGAAACTAGTTTTCCGTTGGAAAATTCTTTAATGAAAACACAGCCTAAATAAAATAATATAATAACAAATAATCACTATTAAAATTAGAAACTAAACCACGAATCACAAGGTTATGTGCGTCCGCGGCGTAATTTAGTGTACTTATTAATTACAATACAATTCCTTTTCTTGCAAACTACTAACTACTAAATTTACTAAAGATCTAAATACAGATTAAAAAACGAGTGTACGAACACAAGGAATTAACTAATGTAAGCGTCGGGCGCGCGTGTCTTTTTTTTCCAACTCAAGTTATTCCGAGGGAGAAGGCGTAGACACAACGGACTCCCTGGAGATAAAGCCGCCCCAGGCGGTGGTGCGCCATCGAAAGGCGACATCCTCCCATCGGCGGAACAAGCACTCGGACCGTAGCAGAGAGGACAAGGAGCGCAGCGTCAAGTTATCGTCATCGTCATCGTCGACGTCGAGACATCACGGGGAAAGAGATGACACCAGTAGATATGTTCGAGACAGTGGAGGCACGAAACACAGCAAGCATCGAAGGCACGGGGAGATCGAGGAGAAGACCAGGAGGTCAGATCCTTCCAAGCGAGAGCGAGAGCCCACCAGGCACGAGAGAAAAGAGCGAAGTACAGGAGACAGGGTCCTCGAGGATCTAAGGGAAAGGTGAGTCAGATTTTAGTTAAATATATCAACACATGTGCTCTGTTGTAGTTAATTTCAACGTTTGATGAAGCCCGACAAAAAAATACTTAGTGCATTATTAAAATTGAATCTTCAATATTAAAAAAACGTTTAGAAAGTTTTTAACGACTAGCCTTTAATGAATAATTTTTTCTTTCCCATCTTCAGCAAGCCCTGCTAAATATCATTATTTTACATGTTGATTTTTTCATCAATGTATGACTTTGCATTTTGATATATCGTATCTCACCAGCAATATGCAGCTGGTACTGTGCTGTCTTAAAATAAACATCTATACTTTTGGATTATCAAAAATAATGACTATTTTTTACACTTGTCATTTTGCATAAAAACTTTACCACTCACTGTATGACAACTTTCAGATAATTTAATCCATTCATACCGGCGTTTCAGATTACTGGATAAACGTCGGGAAAGACGCGAGGACATGCAAGACTACAAAATGGAATCGTCGTCTTCTTCATCACGCCGTGGTGACTCATCACGAGACTCTCGGGGAGGTGAGAGGCGCGAAGTACGTGTAGAGGATTTACGCGAGCGGCGAGAAATTAGGATGGCAGCCGAAGAGTCAATGAACCGTGAATCGCAACGAGATCGTCGGGAGATAAGGATGGAGGATCAACGCAGTAATCGACATATGCGAATGGAGCAAGACAGTTATCCTGACGTTGAGATAGTGGAATCAAATCAGAGGATATCTTCTGGACGCGAAAAGAGGCACAAACGGTCGCATAAGCACGAGAGGACGAGAGATCGCGAGCGGGAAAAAATGGAGAAAGAAATAGGTGAGTCAATGTTGATAAGTCACTGTATTTTTAGGTTTTTGTCGAATGCTCACATCAAATACTTAATGTTTTATTCTTTTTTAGTACATCGAGAAAAGCACGCTCGAGATTATCAAATGAGGGAGCATCAAAGTCGTGAACACCACTCGCGCGAGCATCAGCAAGTAATAGAGGACTTTGAAGAGTTAGAGCGCATGGAGGCAATGTCAGTTTCGGAACACCAGCACCAGCAGCTGCTATCTATTACAAAAGATCCAAAAGAGATGACAGAACAAGAGCTTCGTCGCCAGAGACTTATCGAAGCCAATCGCGAAATGTCCCGAATCAAAGAGAACTCTAGACTAGAGCTTGAAAATCGTCGTAAAATGCGTGGCGAAAAACGCCAACACAGTCCCGAACTAATGCAGCTTCCGCACGATCCATCAGTTGTCGAGCTATCAGACGAGAGCATACACATAGGCAATCAATCGGACAGGAGTAGTCCTAAAAGTATTCGTTCGCGAGCATCCGAGGAAGATAACCAACGCGATCGTTCGAGTGATGACTCTTCGAGCTCCAGTTCTACGAGTACTGATGACGACGATGATTCAACAGATTCGAAAAACTCTGAGGACTCGGAATACAATAATCCTAGTCCACTGTCTGTCGATCAGCTTGCCAAGTCAGACAGATCGGGCGCTGATTCGCCTGGTCATATTGATTCAAATGGTACCGATAAGATATCAAACAACAACGAAACCATAGATGTTCCCGACAAGGAGGTTGAATTGCCTCCCTACATTCCAGCAGTTCAGGGTTGTAGAAGCGTTGAAGAGTACAAGTGTCTGAATCGCATAGCGGAAGGTACGTATGGCGTCGTGTACAGAGCCGAAGACAGACGCACAAAAGAAATAGTAGCTCTAAAACGTTTGAAAATGGAGAAAGAAAAAGATGGCTTTCCCATTACAAGCTTGCGTGAGATCAATACTCTGCTGAAGGCTCAGCATCCCAACATAGTCACAGTGCGAGAAATAGTTGTTGGTAGTAATATGGACAAGATATTTATTGTCATGGACTATGTCGAACACGACTTGAAGTCTCTTATGGAAACGATGAAAATGAAAAATCGTGTTTTTATTCCTGGTGAAATCAAGTGCTTAATGAAACAGCTACTGGCTGCTGTAGCTCACTTGCACGACAATTGGATACTTCACAGGGATCTTAAGACTTCTAATTTGCTATTGAGTCACAGAGGTATTCTAAAGGTCGGTGATTTCGGTCTAGCCAGAGAATATGGATCGCCACTGAAGCAGTACACATCTATTGTCGTGACGCTTTGGTATCGCGCACCTGAATTGTTGCTTGGAGCTAAAGAATACAGTACGCCAATCGACATGTGGTCCGTAGGGTGAGTAAGAGGAACTAAATCTAAATATAACAATATTTTTGAGATTTTTCGTAATCTCATGGCTGCTTTTATTTTGCGATGCAGATGCATTTTTGCTGAACTTTTGCGAATGGAGGCATTGTTTCCCGGGAAATCGGAAATCGAATTATTGAATAGAATTTTCAAAGAGCTAGGTACACCAAGTGACAGAGTCTGGCCGGGATACAGCAAACTGCCAATGGTAAAAAAAATCCCATTTGCGCAGTATCCTGTGAATAGTATAAGGCAGCGATTCGGTTTATCCTTGTCTGACTTGGGAATTGAACTGCTAGTAAAGTAAGTACAAGGACAAAGTTTTCATTTTTTTACCTCGATTACTACTTTTTTTTTTTAACTTGCTGATTGTATTTCTCCAGATTCTTGACGTATGATCCAGCTCAAAGAATAACTGCGGAAAAGGCGCTGGAACATTCCTACTTTTCTGAATCGCCGTTACCAATAGATCCAGCCATGTTTCCCACGTGGCCGGCGAAATCAGAATTTGGTGTGCGGACAGTTAACGCGTCACCAAAGCCACCCAGTGGTGGCAAGGAATTCAAGGCTTTGAGCGAGGACGAGGATAATTCTTCTGGTTTTCACATGGGCTCGAGAGAGGCTGGTAGACCCGCTGGTGTTGGCTTTCAATTGAGATTTTGACAGCATAGCCTCTGCCAATGTGTGATCACGCAAAGTTTTTTTACTTTGAAACGCGTTAACTTTTGTACCGGTTTTATGTTGTGGCAGAGAACAAATCGTAGATGTCTAAGACTGTATGTAAATAAAATAAATATTGTAAATTATTAGGTTTATTTTTAGTTCTAGCTGCATTCCCGTGACATTTTGTTTCTTCTCTTTTTCATTGAAATTACAATAAACATTTCGTACACAATGTTACAAAAAGAAATTCCACATTTTTTCTAAGTATTTTTTGCTCTTTATTCATGTTAAACAAACAACATAGAGATATACAGCTTGTAAAAATTTTCCCCAAGGAACAACCAAATTATTTTTTGTGTAGCCGTTAAGCAGTGTTATAAATTTTTCCATGATTCGCAATAAAAATTTATTGTCGATTACGCACAGCAGCAAGTTTTCATTAAACATTTCACTATAAACATTGTTATTATAAACATAAATGTACATCATGATAAGCACAACTGAAAAATACCATTGGGTAATGTTGAATCGGTTACGCAATTTTTATCTATGCTTATTAATCTACTTTCCGGCGTTGTTCATGTTCTTTGGCAAACCGAGCAGCGAATTGATGATATCCGAGTTCCTCTTGGGGTGACAGAGGCGCTGGGGCATCGTCAGCAAAAGTTTCACAAGCAAATCGTTATCCTGCAAAAGGGATAATTTCATTTCACCCAAACTACCCAATGAGTAATAAGTGCACCGTTGAATCACAAAAAAAAAAAAAAGAAATCTCCCAAAAGTAGTGAAGATCACACGTACTATCAATAGTACTCACCAAATCACGTCCGTAGAAATTGTTGGGCATGACCAAGCTGTGTGACTCGTCCTCCATCGAGGCGGAAGCACAGCAGATGATCGCCAAGAGGATAGAAACTTTGACAAAGCCGTTCAACCAAGACTGCATTTTTATTACCTTCACAGAGCAAACAAATGCTAAGTACAACTTGTTTAAAAAAAAGGTGTAGTTCGAAATGGATATATACCTCGATGTAGCAAACAATGGCTCAAAATCACTTTGAGGGAAAAAAATATATGGAGCGTCGATACGGGTAGCTCCTTCAGGACGTTGAATGAGCGGCCCTTAGCCGATCCTCGTCTTTTATAGGTAGAAAAATCGAGTCGACTCGTTAGCCAAGAACATCTGCACCAGACGCGCATCTATTTCCGAGATGTCCATTGACTGTCCCTGTACCCTTTGCAAAAGACATTTTCTATCGGTTCAATGGGATTGATTGTATCTTGCGTCATTCCATCGATTGTACCTACATTTGTACATACTTACGCTTGTGCGTGACGGTAATAAAAGGATGTAACGTAAGCTTAACTTTAAATGGTTGTACGTGTGTCGATACCGATGATATACTTTTAGATCGTCATCACTTCTGATAGACATATATATATATCAAGACGTACCGTGAGAAATAAATATATTTATAAAATCAATAACTCCTGGGATGGGCAGTTTAAATGAGATGCATAAATATACATTTCAAAGTATGCATGTATAGATATGCATTTGTGTCGCTTCAGTTCTAGAAAAGAAAAAAAGAAGAAAAAAAAGGTCCTCGTTACTAATACTTATTCCACATGAAAAAAAAAAATAATAAAATAAACACCGGACGATCCAGTTGCGAATCGAGTGGATAACATATCCGCACTTGCTGCGCCGCTATAACGTAGCTGTCGTCCTACCCTCGCCCAGAAAAACCTGATTTTCAAGGTGACCCTCCGAACAGGCTAAATGTATTTTGGGGCATCGAAGAAGAAGAAAACATTGATAGAAATACCATAGCGATGTTAAACATCGCCGATGCACTTTTCTCGAGAAATGCATCGGCAGAAAGAAGATTGCGGCGCATGCAGGAAACACGTTAGATATATATCTAAATAATATCAAAAGTTAGCTGCGACTTTTTCCCAATTCTCCGTTGTCTTTCTTATCTATTATATATTTACAAAAACATTTTGGGTATGCGATTGATAATCATATAGTTGATTCGCAATATTTTTCATACATAAACAGGAAGTTGATTTCACATCGTCATCCCATACAAGTTCATGAGTCAAGAAAACAAAATGGTCACAATATAGAGTTTTTTTTTTTCTTTTGTTTTCGAGATGAAAACAAATTTCAAAGTCCGCTATTTTTAAAAAATACTTATAATAATTTCAAATTAAACAGTGACCTTTTTCGTATTTTTTTTAAGGACTAAGGGCCGTAAAACTTGGAAAAATAATGACGAATAAGATAAAAGTCAAGCGAAGCACTGCACACACGTTCATTGAGTTGCGTGAATGTAACGATCCAAAGACAAATTAGAGTTGAGTATTCATGAAATCGGTAATTATTATGGGTTGCTTTTTGCCGATTTTATAGCGTCGAATGAAAAAAACTGCGAGCAGTTCATCAATTGTCGTTTAAATAATGGTATTAAAAAATCTTGCTGAATTAACAAAACGAAACGAAAAAACGTTGACTCTTATGTATACTTGGATCTTCGTGAAAACAGATCGATTGGAGATAGAGGGAAATGTTAAGATTCTTGGTCCCACAGCATGGTTTAAAAATTCCCAATTTAAGATGAAAAAAAAAAAAGAAGCATTTTACCATAACCACCGATCGTGGCGTCGCGTGTGTGCGCATACATGCGATTCCCCGGTTAGCCGAGAAAAAGCACTCGAGAGACTAGCAAATAATCCCCAGCATCAGAAGCCAAGCCGGGTCACTAACCAGCCGTCCCCGGGTGGCCTTGAACCAGGTCACTCTTTCTCCCTCGCTCTCCCCTTCCACCCGGACAACACAGAACAAAAAGAACCACACGTTCTCCATCTCCTTCTCTCTCTCTTTTTTAAATTTCGTTTATTTCCTTTCATCTACTTCTCTTTCTTTCCTTCCTTCCTTCCTTCCCCTTGATTTCGTGTACATACCATACAAGTACCGTGCCTCGTTTGGCTCAGCAACATAATATAGTATTTTATTTATTTAAATTATGTTCGTCATTATTGCACGCTTGACGCTTACACGTTTACAATGTGTGCGGGGGGAGAGCCACCCGCTCTATGATTTACGGCGCGCCGTCGACGCTGATTTTTATACTCGATACACGCGTGTATATCTACCTGTTTGATTAAAAATATCCGTCTGGTTTAAATGTTTCGTCCACATGTATATATATATATATATAACAGGTATGTTTCGTTGGACTCTGGCGACAACTATACAAAACTGCAGACATACCGATTACTTGGATCCAGCGTTTTCCTTATAGCCTAGACCTCGATTTTTGGGTAGCGAGGTGCCCTTGAGTTCTAGGTAAAAATGGTTAAATTTTTTGGCAAACGATCGTACAGTTCCGGAGATCACTGCCTTTTTATTTCCACCTACCCTATGGAAGTGACGAAAAAATTGTCAACGGGCACTTTATGGAGAGTTAATAATCATAATATATAATTCGCACTATACTTGTATGCTATGTCGTAGGAAAACACCCGAATAACAACATACGGCGCAAGAGTTAGTTTTTTTTTATCGATACAATGTGGGATCGGTAGGTGTACAGCGTGGGAATGATAAAGAAACAATAATTTATGGATTTAAAATTTCCTTTGATTGTTTGCAATTTTTTCATCATAAGACTTATGGAAAAGTATGGGTGTACAAGATCAAGTCAATGGTCACAGTTGTAGCAGAATAGGTGCAAGGAAACCCCTAGAGCCCGATGATGAAGTTGGCGTTGAAAGGCCGACGAATAATAAAGAAATGGAAAAAATTTTTCATGATAAATTTCAGAGTTTAGCTGTACTTACTAAAATCCTCTTTTTCCTTTGTAAACATCGTTCACTTTTTTTTTCTTCGTACCTTCGAGGATCAACTTAATTCCACGAAACGTGTTGAGGGGTACATTAAGAGAATAAAAAAATCGAAGGGATCGATTGATGGGGGGGGGGGGAAATGGGATTCGCGTATGCATGTTACATTATAAAGTGCGTGCGCACACGTTTCTCGCGCCCAAGGGATCTAATTGCAAGGCTCAGCGAAGCGTCGTTGTACAAAAAAGGCACGGCCCCTATAAACGTCGCGCCTCGAGGCGAATGGATGAGCTTCATCTTCGATAATCGGAGAAATAAGGGGATTGCCTCTGTATGACTGTTTTTTTTTTTTTTTTTTCCCTCGGTGGTAATGCGTTTATGAACGCGGATTATGATCGGTACACGGGGGTATAGTCATATGCACAAATGCACGTATGGAATATGCCGAGGAAAGATAAAACGCACCAAAGGGGTCATAAAGATTCCGGCCACGTATACATGTGCTTTGCCTCTCTGCTCGAAGGTTTTTTTTTTTTTTTTTTTTTTCAAAGACTCATCATCGCAAATCTCGCTCCCAATGATTGTAAAAGACCCGAAGGATAAATAAAACAAACTCGCGAGGCTCTGCTGATCTCACGACTTTTGGGATCCACGTGATTTGTCGGGAAGAATTTTTCCATAAATAAAGCCTGCCCATACATCAAATTCACACCGATTCGTGATGCGCACACTGCTGATTCATTTGATTTGAAAAAAAAAAAGAAAAAAAAAGGTAGTAATATAAATAAAAAGCTCGTTTCACGCGTCTTTCGCTCGATTACTTCCTCGGACAGCTCGACGAGGCGAATAATACATAATTGCCGGTCTACTTGTTCCGTTTCGTAAGATCGTCCGCGTGGGAGGGTATACCACCTTTTGGGGGGGGGGGGGTATATGCAACATAATTATACAGTGGCGAGGAGCGTACGATGTATACAGTAGCGGGTTTCATCTATTTTATCGACAGCACAAAGAAAACCGTCTGCCACTGGCGGGTTGGTTCTGTTATCCATGGATCAACTGAGCGAGAAATCGGGCCGATTCAACAACGCGGTAAAATTATACCTCCACGCCCTACATTTCGTGTAGATACGTGCCCTTGTATTGACTTTGTGCGCCTTTGTGGTGATGGTCAATGACTTTGGAGGGTTACGAAAAGAGAGAGAGACAACCTGCAAAGACTTTGGTAGGATGTAACAAAAAAAAAAAAAAAAAAAAAACCCCAATTATTTTTGATCAAAGTATTGTAAAAATAAGTAAAACCAAGCTAATGTAGGTATAGGTGCTTTGCACTTCTCGGAAAGGATGAGGGGTGAATAGAAGTAAAAAATGCAGGAACAAAAAAAAATGAATGTGTAATTTGAGCCAACGCTTGCTGGTAAAAGTCACACGGAGGTATGTACGATGGAATTTTTAATTTTATGAAGATTTACATATTTTTTGAGACACAATACACTTGCTTCTTTTTTTTTTTTAAACTTGAATAACGGTTGTAAAAATTACAACTCTTACATGGATGGAACAAAGAAAAACGCAAATAATAATAAAAAATAACAAATACTAGAAGCGTTTTTTTGTTGTTTTTTTTTTTTTTTTCATTATTACTATACTACTACGTAATTCGCCGCTACGAATCGAGTGGGTTATTTGAAACGACTACTCATAGCAAGGATGAAAAGTGACCGAAATCACGTGTGACGAGATGAAAGAAAACGATGGATGATTACGTACAGAATGAGAAAACGAGACTGAAGCTGGTAATTAAAGTTGTAATGTAAAAGTACTTAGATCGAGACGGGGGTTTTGAAACAAAAATAATTGATTAAGTGGATGGAAAGAGAGGAACGGTTAAGTACAGACACGGAGAGCAAAGTGAATGAGCTTGATTATGGTTTGGCCAGGCTAATAGTAAAAAACAACAAAGGGCTTCTTTTCGAAATGAAAATCAACATCGGTAGCGATCATCACACGATTAACTATTAAAAGTAAAAAAAAAAAAAAGTGCTCCAGACTTATCCGCGGCCAAATGAGGCTCTCGTGCCAACTCTGAAAATGACCGGTGCAATGCATGTGTCCGCAGCCGATGGAAGTAACAAGCGACGATGTGGTATACACACGACTGTTGCAGGCGCTTCGAAAAATCCACAAGGTCATAAGGTACTTATTGTACTCGTCCGCGCGTGCACATAACTCACGGGCTGAGGTGAAATTTGTCATCGCGCGATAAAAAGCAAAGACCGCCACGCGAGTAAAAGGGGGTACCGCGGCCCGGTTGACGTTTCATTAATCGACCAGTCGAGCGCAGAGAGAAGATAACGCGAGGGATCTTTATTGCCACGAAGCTGATCCGTGGGTATACCATTTGTATGGATATCATCGATGCTTTGGAGCTCGGCGAGCCCGCTCGGTGCTTTTGTTTTTTTTTTTTTTTTTTTTTTTTTTTTTTTTTTTTTTTTTTTTTCAGCGGGGAAAAAAGGGAGGGACTGTATTTTCCGCGCAGAGCTTAACGGGATTTTTTTTTCATGCAGCCGAGGCGCGAGGGTGCGTATTTTTTTATCTGCGCGTGTCGGACCTGCAGGTGAGACTATACATGGCTTTGTGATGCTTTTAAAAGTCCTTTTTTTTTCTTTTTTTTTTCTACCGCATTCGAGTTTTCTGCCGGAATGTATACCTGCGGGTGTTTTTATTGCATTTCCCGTGGTGATTTTTGTTCCGTCTATTTTGCATTCTTTGGCAGTGGTCTCCGGGGGCCCGATAAGGTTTGAGAAATTCCATTTTTTATTGAAGGGGGATTTCATTTTATTTCATTCGTATCATCGTTGCTGCGAACAAAGGCAATATTTTGGCTAAGAAAAATGATGCCTCCAAAAAAATGGTAAACTATATTGATTAACGCGATTATTGCAGTCTGAAGGTAATTCTGAGAATTTACTTACTCTGGCGTAACGGGTTGCAACAGGGCTTTTCTCGATCGATACAAGAGGGACTAGTTAACAACATTTTCGTTGATAGAGGTAACGCATTACGTCAGGGGGGCACCGTTTACGTTACATTGCGTTACAGGAAAAAAAAAAAAAAAAAAAAGGAAAGAGAAAAAAGTATGGAGAAACGAGAGCTTATGGCTTTATGGTATAACTGAACTTTTTTTTTCTTTCCTCCTTTGATTATACGTCAAACCCTCGTTATTAGCTCGATGTACCCACTCAAAGCCAAAGGTCGTTGCCCTACTCGTACAGTAGCACATGATAATAATAATTATACCTGTACACCTGCACATTGATCTCGAGTCTTTTTTCTTTATTATTTAGTACGCTGTACATCCATACGAATCGATCGTCTATTTTCCGCTATAAAAGTACTTTATATCGACCTTTTTCAACAATTTAATTTTAATTCCACGGCCAATTAAAATCACCTTCCATACGACGCTTGTGTGAATTTTAATGGCGTTGAACAAAGTGCACTTGAGCATACTAGTCTCGTACCCGAAAGAAAGAAAGAAAGAAAGAAAAAATAAGCAAAAAAAAAGAAAAGACATTGTACAGTTGTTTGCATTAAATTAATTTGCAAATGTGTTTCGTATGCAAAACTCATAAATAAATCGCCCGATAAGATCTTTTGCAGTACCGAAACGAGCACGATGCTGTTATGCAAAGTTCGGAGATTCGGCGACAAGAGGATGACGGACGGGGGCGTCGACAGAGATTTCGCGCGAAATCGGTTGGCGGGACGTCCGAGACCTTAACGAGATTAAAAACCCGCGAGGTTCAACGAACCGAGTCCTCGCGGATATCACGATTAATCGATTTTCAAAACTACGGTATAGATCTTATCCATCTGCTCGCTAAAAAAAATCATCTAACAATCGCGGATTCAGAGCAAGGTTAAGCGCCTCTAATGAGCAACGTACGTGAGATTTGACGGATCATTGAGCTCGGGGAGTGGGGGGGGGGGAAAGGTCGCGTGATTGTCCCGTTCAAAAAAATTAAAAACACTATTCAAACCTCCATACCAACGACCGCGGGCTTGCCGATCGCTCGATTTTCGCTTCGTTCGCCAGCAAATGTCTAAAAAAAAAAAAAAAAAAATACTAAAGGACACTTGTGTTGATACATACGTGAAGTTGAGATGCCCCGACAATCGGCTACTATGATTTTTTACCCCCATTCTTTCGGTCTAAAAAATAAATGACCGCAGCAGTACCGTAGGTTCTCGGTAAAAATTAGTCAGTCGATGAATTGATTTTCGTTTTTTTTTTTTTTTTTCTGTCACTGTCAGGCCCCCCGATGTCTCATTAGCATTATCACAGCTACCGATTTTGAGAAACGAAAACATATGAGGTAAGATCGGCGCGCCCGATAAACACTCGTCGACGCGCAAAACGTACAGGTACAATTGTACAACATATACACACATGCGAGATCAGTGGAGACACTATGTTACAAGTATCCACAGAGGAAGAAGAAAAAGGAGGGGGAGTCCTCGATACGTACTGGCACACGTATATATACACGAAGGAAAAAAAAAAAAAGAATACACACCCATAGTCGTGGTGTCCTGCTGGCCTCCTGGCGCGCACCACACGCGTTTATTTACATACACGGGCGTGCATGTATCGTACGTGCGTGAGGTATAAAAGTAAAAAAAAAAAAAAAAACGCGGGGAAGGCGCGAGCGTATATATATGGGCCCTATACGCGGCCGGAATACCGCATTCGCCGCTCGACCGGCCCCCGCGCTGTTGACTCCTCGCGCCAAGCCCGGCGCGTCATACTTGGCCGTGCACCGAAACAGAGTCGCACTCATTTGGAACTCGGAGGACCCGATAAAGACACCGGTGGATTTGGTTTTGTTTTTTTTTTTTGTTTTTTTTTGTCTTTTCCATTACAGACGGAGGTTGGCTGTACTGACCGAGAGTTGAGGTGATTATATCGTGCCAGTGTTTTCAAAAATTTCGAATTGTTCAAGTGCGGCAGTGCGGGATATCGGGCCGAGCTTCTTTTCTTTTTATACATAGCGATACAATGTACCTGCGTATACTCGGTTCTCATCGCAGGTGAGGTTTTCGCGTCAGGATTTCGGTCAACGATCGTTTGTGAGACACTTTTTGGGTGTTTGTCGGTGCCATGTACAAAAAAAAACTTTGTTCTTATTGTTTTATCATTTTCGTCAATGCCAACTGTTTTACTTGCAGCGTAGGTAATAATACGTCACATCGTATCGTCGTAAAACTAAGTCGAACCGATGTACGGATGGATGGTCGTCATTAATATTCGAAGCGCGCTAATGTTGTAAAAGAAAATTGTAAACCCACAGGCGTACGTGCAACCCGGTATTTGCGTGCACCAGAGAAACAAAACAAAACAAAAAAATGTAGTTCCAGCTATTGTCCAAATAAAAAAAAAAAAAAAAATTAAAACCACGATATCGTTTCAGGGACACGCGCGAGTAAACGGCAGCAATCACAGGAGCGATGGGCCGGCCGATCGGGGCGATCGCGGCTCTCGGTCTGCTCTTAGCCCTCGCCGCCGCCCATCACCTGCCCTGGCACCTCGGGAACGAGCACGAGCCACCAGCCGACGTGCCGACCTTCCAACGCACGGCGGTCGAGAGCCAGCCGGACGACGTGTGGTCCTCCGCCTACGGATCGGCAAGCTTGCCCTTGAGATCGGCAGTGGAATCGGTACCCGATCATCCCGAGTCTCGCCGCCAGCAGCTCAGAGATGCCGTCGAGACTAGCCCCAGGACGTGAGTAAACATTCCCCGCATCCAACGGACGGCATATTATTGATCCGCTTATGATTCCGGGGTAAGATAAGACGACTCTGCCGTCGGGACGAGTGACACTTTTGGAACATCAGGGAGGAGGAGGGGCTAATCGCAACAGACGCGCTCTTGCAGAATGAAAAAGAGAAAAAAAACCCGTTCCCCATGCTAGCCAAAAACTAGTTTTCATTTTTTTTTTTTTTTTTTGGCACTAATTTTAGAGATCGGTGACCTCTAAACGGCATCTCGAGCACTACTACTAGTCGTCTCTCTCTCTCCTTTCCTCTGATTCTTCTTATTCAAATAAGCGTCTACCGAGAAAAATATGAATCACCGTCGTCGAGATCTACGCAAAGTTTGGCCCCATACATACATGTCTCTAAAGTCGGATGTACAGTGACGCGTATGGAAAAATAACGTGCAAACAGGTGGTCGAGGAATCAGCCGTTACGCGAGGCCGTGGAGCGCCGACCAGCGCCTAGTTTCCAGGGGGGCTTCGACCACGAGGCCTTTTGGCTGGAGCAACTAACTCCACCTGCGATCCGGCACGTCGATCACCTCAAAAACGTGCTCTGCCACTTCGAGGCCGAGTCCACGTACCGCGAGGAGCCCTTTGCACTACTGCCCCGTGCCCTACCGGCTTACAAGTGCACGCACCTCGTATACAGCGCGGCAATCATCGGTAGGTGTATACTTTACCGATATGTACCTATCTCTCATGGGCCATCGATTCAACCGTCAACTTTGATTTCCAGATCCTCGAGAGTTCACGGTGATCCCGCGCGATCCCGAGTACGACATCGTCAAAGGTAAATCGGACGAAAAAAAAAAAAAATCGGTATATCGCCAAACGCAAACTATCCTTATACATAAACATCAATCGAACAGGTGGGTACATAGCCGCGGTGGGGCTGCGTCGTCGGGACCCGGCGCTACGAGTCCTCGTCTCTCTAAGCTCCGCCGATCACGGCCGTGTTTACCGCGAGATCCTCTCCGCGCCGGAGAAGCGCTTACCGATCTTCGTGAGCTCGGCGCTCGAGTTTCTCGAGCAGCACGACTTTGATGGATTCGAAATCGACTGGGAGACCGGCAGCGTGGCCTCGCTCAAGCTTTTGCTTCGTCACTTGCGCGGTGCCCTGCGCGAGCGCGGCTACTACCTGGCGGTCGCCCTCAGGCCCGAACAGCTCGCCGACGCCGAGCTCTCCGAGATGGTCGACCTCTTGGTGCTGCGCTCCTGGCACTCGAGCCGGGATCCCCAGGTCCTGACGACACCCGCGCCCCTCGACCTCCTCATCGGCTTCGTCGAGCGGCTGACGAGCGCCGGCGCCCCACCCGCCAAGATCATCGTGGGACTACCCCTGTTTGGCTGGTCGTATCGCATGGCGAGCAGCGACGAGTCGGACGCGGCCGTGGGATTCGGCATCGATGGACGGTACACGAAACGCAGGGGCCAGCTCGCCTACTACGAGGTACAAACTCCCTATTTTACACATATACCTCATACGTTGTGTATATACGTACCATTGGGTATATTATATGCGAATAATCGTGTTAAATGGGCTGCAGATATGCGAGAAATTGGAGGACCAGTGGCAGTACAAGAGGCACAAGAGCAACGGATCGTACCTGGTACTGGGCGACCAGTGGATTGGTTACGACGACCCGTTGTCGATGAAAATCAAGGCAGCTTACGCCCGATCCGCCAGATTGGGAGGCATATCGATATACTCGCTCGATCTGGACGACTTCCAGGTACCGATGACAACCCGTTGAATGGAAAAAAAGGGACGAGTTTTACATATATGTTTATTTTGTCGGTTCGAAGGGCATATGCGGAAACGCGTGGCCAATGTTCAACGCGGCCGTCAAGACGCTGGGCATATTCGACGAGCCGAGGGAAAAGTGCCCGAAAACCGGCCTCTACAGCGACCCCGACAACTGCTCCGGGTTCTTGTCTTGCTTCGACGGTGAGTACATCACCCAATATATGGGCGTTTGATCGTTTTCCCACGACACTATGGAGTTGGTGTTTGGGCGCAGGTCGGCTCCACCGTGGACCCTGCGGAGTAGGCCGGTTCTACGACCCGGTGCGGGGCCGGTGCGTGGGCGCGCGGCCCGAGGTCTGCAAGCCCGGGCACAGCGACAAGTCCTCGTACGGCAGCTTGGGGCTGGAGCGGCTGCGGCAACGGCAGCGCCACGACAAGCTCGAGTTCGCGGTCGACGGCGAGGACGGGCCGCGGGTCGTTTGCTACCTGACCTCGTGGGCCATGTATCGCAAGGGCGAGGGCAAATTTGTCCCCGAACACATCGACGCGCGGCTCTGCACTGACGTCGTTTACGCGTTTGCCGGCCTCAACCCGGAAACCCTGATGCTCCATCCCTTCGACTCGTGGGCCGACATAGACAACAGTGAGTATTTCTTTCACTCTTCTTGGTCCCCCTCCGTACCGGTGATTGTGACGTTTTTTTTTTTGGCGAAGCAGATCTGTACGAGCGGGTGACCTCGATAGCCGGGCCGCGGGTACTGTTGGCCCTGGGCGGCTGGACCGACAGCGCCGGCGACAAGTACTCGCGCATGGTGAGCAGCCCCTCGGCCCGTCGGAAATTTGTCGCCTCGGCCGCGAGTTTCTTGCGCGCCCACAACTTCCGGGGCCTGTCGCTCGAGTGGAACTACCCGGGCTGCTGGCAGAGCGACTGCCGGCGCGGCCCTGAAACGGACCGGCCCAACCTGACGCAACTGCTGGCCGAGCTGCGGGCCGAGTTCGACGCCCACGAGCCGAAACTCGCCCTCGCGGTCGCCATCTCGGGCTACAAGGAGATCATCGACCGGGGCTACGACGTGCCCGAGATATCGAGGCTCGTCGATTTCATGACCGTCATGGCGTACGACTACCACGGGGCCTACGAGTCGCGGACCAACCACCTGGCCCCGCTCTTTGCCGTGCCCGATGACCCCACGCCCCACTACAATCTGGTAAATTCCCGCACGTCCTTTTTTTTTTTTTTTTTTTTTTTTTTCTACTCCCATTACGCGCAGTTGTGATGATGGTTTGCGTCTATGCGCGGTTGCAGAACTACACGTTGAGTTATCTGGTGAAACTCGGGGCGGACAGGTCAAAGTTGATCGTGGACATACCGATGTACGGGCAATCGTATCGGCTGACGACACCGAGCGAGCACGGGCTCGGGGCCCCGTCGGCCGGTCCCGGCACAGCCGGCGAGTACACGAGGCAGCCCGGTATGCTCGCTTACCACGAGATCTGCGACAGACTCGAGAACGACAACTGGCAACTCGGACCTGGTGAGTGCACGGTTTTTCTTTCCTTTCGATTGAGGATATATAATATTGGGTTTTTTTATTCCTTGCAGGCCCGAGCGCTCATCACAAGAATCAATTTGTGAGTTTCGACAATGCCAAGAGCATCGCGTACAAGGGCCAGTACGTGCTGAAGAAGAAGTTTGGCGGGGTGGCCGCCTGGACGATCGATCTCGACGATTTTACGAATCGCTGCTGCCTGGAGGCTTTTCCCCTGTTGCGCAGCATCAACAGGGCCTTGGGTGCGTGCACGGCGGTAAATTTTCTCGTTTGTTTCTTTTTTTTCACAATAGTCGGTCAATGTATTTTGTAGGGCGACTCTTGACTCCGGCGCCATCGCAAAAGGACTGCCAGAAGCCGGTGGAGCCGGTCACGCCGGTCCCGCCGACTCTGACGCCGCACACCGACTCCAACGATGGAAAACCCATGCCGAGTCCCACGACTCCCTCGACTAGGCCGACCACCTGGCCCACGTGGACGGAGAGGCCGACGACTCCCTGGCACCAAGGGACCACTACATTTTCCTGGATGCCCGAGAGCACAAGTGCCACCACCACCACCACTACGACAAGGTACGCGTGTGGTTTGATTGTATTTACCAAGAAAGAAGAAAAAAAAAAAAAAAAACAGTAGCTTAAAGTCATTTTACTCATGTAGGAAACCGCCGGTGAGTCAGACGGGTTCCCTGGCCGGTATGGCCTGTAATACCGGCGAGCACCAGTCCGACCCGACAAACTGCGGTACTTTCTACCGGTGCGTGCTCGGTGAGTTCAAGCGCGAGTTTTGCGCCCCGGGATTGCACTGGGACTCGACGAGGAAGCTCTGCGACTGGCCCGGTGCTGCCAAGTGCCAAGGTGAGGTTCTATGTTGTTATTTTATTTATTTATTTTTTTTTTAATATTCCCACTGAGTTTTGTGTGGTTGTTTGTGTGACTGTGTAATTCAAAGCTTCTTCGGATATCTTTTATCAGGATGAAAAGAAAAAACGAATCGAACGATTATTATGGATAATAAACTGCGCGATATATAGAGAATTTGTCGCAATAATCCTTTGAAAATCAAGATTTCACGATTTATTTTTTTCTGACGAATAAAGGAGGTGGTATATGTGTATTATGAACAGCGTACTACGTTAGATAACGAGGCTAAACTCGCACTGAAGGAGGAGCCAAGATCCAAACTTTAACGATCAACGCGCTTCTCGTTAAGTGGCACCTGTGTGTATGGTTTATTGCCCCACCGGATGTATGATCCACTTGGGAGATGTTCGTTCCTGGACCAATTAGAGCTCGCCGATGAAATTCATGACTTTGCGCGCCGTTGTCTTTCACGCTCGAATCGAATATTATGAAAAAGGAAGGGAAAAAAAAATCATAAATAAACAGCGCGCAATCGAATCTTTCCCGAGATATCTCCATCTGGCAGGATGAATAATTGACGAGTTGGGTATAGGTCACGTGTAACACACGCAATCACCGGACGATGGATTTCAGGATCGGTGTACCAATATACATGATAAGTATAATACCCCCATCGGCAGCGGCGATCCGAATCGATCATCCACGCTCGAACTTTGTAATTAAGCGCTTAGCATCCTCGTCTACGTCATCATACCTCCTCCTCCTCCTGGTGTGTATACGTGTACAAGTGTATAATATTATATGTGCACCTCACGCATCCCGACGATGGCTCATTGCGCAATGACGCACGAATCGTTGATTATTTATCGATGTGCGGGTATATTATACACGCGTAGAGTATCAAACGTAAGCAGGTGTACGGTGTGTGACGGTGAATTTAAAGAAAAAAGCCGGATAGTGGTGGGAGCAGCCGTAAAATTAAAAAAAAAGAAAAAAATCGGCCGAGAATGTCCCTTTTGTTGTACGCGTACAGATATCGTGGATAAGAGCGAGTTGCATGCGTGCACGTTCATTGTGTCGTTCGGCTTCGGGGGGGGGACTGCCTGTTATATTTACTATCGGACGCGCTTCCGAGGCAGGTACGAGTCGCTTGCCGATCGCTGCTAGATCGACATGTCGTCCGCGATTCACGGGCTTATTTTCGTGACTGTGGTCGTTTGTTTGCTGTTGGGCACCGGTGCGCGGGGAAACGAGACCGGGGCCTGTGGAAAAACTTGTGCGGATACCGAGAAAGGTACTTTGTTTTTCATTTAAAGTCAATTTAACTAAATTTTGTTTTTGTTTTTGGGACTCATCATTCGTACTGTACAATAAACAAAAATCAGGAGGAAAAAAAAAAATCGGTATCTTGAATTCCGTGTTTAATCCTCTGCGCAAAAAGTTTGATTACTTTTTTTTTTTTTTTTTTTTTTTTTTTTTTTTTTTTTTTTTTTTTNTTTTTTTTTTATTTTATTTACACGTTTGTGTAATACTTACCGGTCGTTTCACACTTCCGAGTTTCTACAAAATAGCAGATCTTTCTTTTTGTTTCGTTAATAAGACCTTCCTAAAATTATGTCGTCTTATTATTGCAACGAAGGTAGCGCGGGTAATTACGGAGTTTCTCGGTGGTAGCTCCGTGATCATTGCTATCACGAGGAGTTATGTGGTGCAAGTTAGTTTTTATAAATGTCAGTATCAAAGCTAAAGAAGAAGAGATATCGTCAAGTTTTTTTTTTTCTTTTTTTTTTTCTTTTTTTTTTCGGAGAACCTTTAAAGCAGTTAATTATACTAAGCGCGTACGTATGTCTGTTCAGCCTTTTGATATTAATCTTTCACAAACAGTTTTGACACTAAGACAAGCATTTACGAGTGCATCTATTTATGTTTTCATCGAGACTTTGCGAAATTGTCGAAAAAAAAATTTATACAACGCTTTAGTTAATTTAATAAGACTTCATGAAAAATGGGATGAAAAATTTATTTGATTGTAGTAAAAAAAAAAAAAAAAAAAAAAAAAAACTAACTTTGAGATTTGTAAAAATTGAACGATAAATAATAATTGTTCATTACAAAGAAATCGGTAAATAAATTTTAGCTCACCCAAAAATGTATTACGATAGCATGTATATTTATAAGATTTCCCTTACTCGATAATACACCGCGTTAACAACTCTCTCTCTCTCTCTTGGCGTGTCTCTGTTAATTATTGTGCATCCAAACACCTGCACGCGTCCATCTAAACGCGCTTATGCAATCGAAAATTATTAATATGAAAAAAAAAAAAAAATTTTGTCGCGAAGAATACACGAATAGGTATTTATGGTAAAGTCACCTACGCAATCACGTAAAAAACGTCCTTCTAGGCCCTTCAAAGCCAGTGACCACAACGACAAAGAGGCCAATACACGAGGTCACGTCACCTGCGTCGACGACCACGAAAAGGCCAACAACGACGACGACGACGACCCAAAACCCAGGCAACGAGGTATGCGAGCACGGCCAGTACTACGCGTACCCGGACTCGTGCAGCCACTTTTTGATCTGCGTCAATGGCGATCTCGTGAAACAACAGTGCGGCCCTGGCCTCAACTGGAACGACGGGAAGAACATGTGCGACTGGGCCTTCAAAAATCCGTGCGGAAGCAACAAGGCCAAGAAGCAAAAGCACAAGGCCCCCCTCAAACAGTCGGAGGAGGCTCAGAAGGTTGGTGTACTCATACATATACCCACGTATCGCGATTTTTTTTTTTTTTTTTTTCATCACCTGAGGTGTAAGATCGATGTAATGTGTAAAAACAGAAATGTATCTTAAATTAATTTGATCGAGCGCAGAGTTGCACGAGCGGCAAGTACTTGCCGGTGCCGGGCGACTGCGGGAGCTACTACGCCTGCCTGTGGGGCAAGCCCCAGCGATTCCAGTGCGCGCCTGGGCTCCACTTCAACAAGGCGAGCGGCATCTGCGACTGGCCCATCAGGGCCCAATGCAAGCCCACATCCACCGGCAGCGAAGAAATCCCGCCCGACCACGTCGACTCGGACGAGGAGTTTCAAGCTCCAGCCCAGCCGTCCCCTACGCCCGCGACCACCTTGGCACCAGCCGTCGTAGACCCCGACAAAGTCTCGCCCCTCTCCGGGCACTTTAAGGTTCGAACGGGACTCCAAAACTGAAGCAGCGTATCGATCAGAGCCAGTGCCATAAAGTGCCATTATTAACGTCATTAAATGTCCACTTCAGATCGTGTGCTACTTCACGAATTGGGCGTGGTACCGTCGTGGCTTGGGCCGCTACCTGCCGGAGAACATCGACCACACGCTCTGCACGCACATAGTCTACGGTTTCGCGGTCCTCGACTACTCGGACTTGATAATCAAGGCCCACGACTCTTGGGCGGACTTTGACAACCGGTTCTACGAGCGAGTCGTGGCGTACAAGAAGCGCGGCCTCAAGGTCAGTCTCGCCCTCGGCGGCTGGAACGACTCCCAAGGCGACAAGTACAGCCGCCTCGTGAACAATCCAGCCGCGAGGAAGAGGTTCGTCGAGCAGGCCCTCCGGTTCGTCGAGAAGTACGGCTTCGACGGGCTCGACCTTGACTGGGAGTACCCGGTCTGCTGGCAGGTGGGTACATCCTATACTCCTCCTGATCCTTGGGTGGGATAAATAACCATGATCTGATCCGCAACGGCAGACGGACTGCGGCAGTGGCCCAAAGTCGGACAAGGAGGGCTTCGCCGCGATGATACGGGAACTGAGCGAGGCGTTCCGGCCCCGCGGTCTGTTGCTCTCGTCGGCCGTGTCGCCGAACAAAAAAATCATCGACGCCGGCTACGACGTGCCGGCCCTCGTCAAGTACTTCGACTGGATAGCCGTGATGACTTACGACTACCACGGCCAGTGGGACAAGAAGACGGGACACGTTGCCCCCATGTACTACCACCCCAACGACGACGTGTACTACTTCAATGCCAATTACACCATCAACTACTGGATCTCCAAGGGCGCGCCGCCGAGGAAACTGATCATGGGTGGGTGCCTCTTTGATTCGTCCAGCTTTCAAAGATCACGAGTGCCCTGTCACTCTATTAGTATATCCATACAATGGAAACTGGTCCCATATGAGAAAGAGTCGTTTTGTGATTGACAAGCAACATTGTTGGTGCAGGTATGCCGTTGTACGGACAATCCTTTTCGATGAACGATCCGAGCGCTGGCACGGATTTGAACGTACCGGCGAGTGCCGGCGAGGCGGGCGAGTTCACCAAGGCCGCGGGTTTCCTCGCCTACTACGAGATCTGCTACCGGATAAGGAACAAGGGCTGGCAGGTGGTCCAGGATCCGGAGCGTCGCATGGGCCCGTTCGCCTACAAGGGCAACCAGTGGGTCAGCTTCGACGACGCCGACATGATTAGGCAGAAGGCGCAGTTCGTCAGGGACATGAACCTAGGTGGGGCCATGGTCTGGGCACTGGATCTCGATGACTTTACGGGCAGGTGTGGCGAGGGTCCGCATCCCCTGATGCACACTCTCCAGCAGGTTCTCGCCGAGCCGCCCAACAGCCACGACAGGCGTATGTATACTATACGTATATGCTTTTACTCGTTTGCCATATTTTGCGGGGGCCATAATGTTACGTCGCGTTTGACAGCGATAGCTCCGCCACACGTGGGACAAGAGTTGGAGTGGATGCCGGCGAAGGTTCCGCTGTCAGGTAGCAGCGCGCCTCTGATGTTGGAGAAAGAGGACGAGTACAAGGTAGTTTGTTACTTCACGAACTGGGCGTGGTACAGGCAGGGCGAGGGCAAATTTCTTCCCGAGGACATAGACGCCGATCTCTGCAGCCACATAATCTACGGTTTCGCGGTCCTCGACGGCTCGACTCTTACGATCAAGACTCACGACTCTTGGGCCGATATCGACAACAGTAAGTCGCTCCCTTTCTATAGTACATCCATCCCAAATACAGAGAGGTTCGATGGATTACGTTTGGAAATTTTAATTCAACTCCCATGGAAGTGTTCCCGTGTAATATTCATCAAATCAGCGTAATTACCAAGTAGAAACATGACTTGGTTGTATATACATACGTTTGTATAAATCTTAATAATTACAAATGCCATTATAGATGAGCATTACATAAATTGACAAGGCAAAATTCACAAGGCATACATGCCATGCGGAATGAACGATAAAAATCCAATTGTAACTTATTCTGTATATAACTTGCAAGAATACTTCCATGTGAAATCCACTATAGGGATTATGTAATGAAATTAGGAGTAAAATATTTCGAGAACTCGTGTGCTTATCGTGAAAGTGATGCGTATTGCAGAATTCTACGAGAGAGTGGTGGCGTACAGAGCCAAGGGTAAAAAAGTCCTCGTCGCGATCGGAGGCTGGAACGACTCGGCGGACGACAAGTACAGCCGGCTGGCCAACAATCCGTCAGCCAGGCAGCGTTTCATCGCCAACGTGTTGCAGTTCATCGAGAAGTACGGCTTCGACGGGCTCGACCTCGACTGGGAGTACCCGGTCTGTTGGCAGGTGGACTGCACGAGGGGCCCAAAATCGGACAGGGACGCCTTTAGCAAACTGATCGTCGAGCTGAGCAACGAGTTCAAGCCTCGCGGTCTGTTGCTCTCGTCGGCCGTGTCGCCGAACAACCGAGTCATCACCGAGGGCTACGACGTGCCGGTGCTCGCCCAGCACCTCGACTGGATAGCCGTGATGACTTACGACTACCACGGCCAGTGGGACAAGAAAACGGGACACAATGCTCCGTTTTACGCTCGTCCCGACGACTGGGAGCCAACCTTCAACGCTGTAAGTGTTCCAAATAAGCTAGAGATTACTTGCACTGACCAACTCGTCGTACAAATTCTACTGCACGTTTTAATCATTTTGTCCCCCAGAACTACTCGATTCACTATTGGCTGGAACGCGGTGCGCCCCCGAAGAAGTTGATCATGGGTGTTCCACTGTACGGTCAGAGCTTCTCCCTCGCCGAGAGCAAACAGAATGGACTCAACGCCCTAACTTACGGTGGTGGTGAAGCCGGGGATGCCACCAGAGCCCGTGGTTTCCTCTCTTACTACGAGGTACGGCATTTTCGCGTGGGCATTCAAAGCACACGTGTAGTAATGTATAAAAATGTGACGTTTAATGGAATTGCGTTTGAATGCCACGTTGCAGATATGCCAGAGAACCCTCAAGCGGGGCTGGACGGTGGTTCAAGATCCTGAGAGGCGGATTGGACCTTACGCCTATAAGGGCGACCAGTGGGTCAGTTTCGACGACGCGGAGCAGGTCAGGCGCAAATCCGAGTTCATCAAGGAGCTCGGACTCGGTGGTGGCATGGTCTGGGCCCTCGATCTCGACGACTTCAAGAATTACTGCGGCTGCGAACCCAGTCCTCTCCTAAGAACCATGAACCGTGTTCTAGGAAGATACCCTCCAGGACCGTTGTGCCAAGTGACGGGTGAGTTTGGGTTTTTTCATCGATTTAGGACCGTGATGCGTTGATTATAACGTTTGAACATTTGTAGACTCAGCCTTAGCTGAACCAGCCCCAGGAACGACCGCAAAACCCTCGACCGCTGTTACCGCTACTTCTCCGGGGATGGAAGCAACCACGGAGGACGATACGGACACGGTGGAAGTCGAGGCGGTTGACGGTCAACCGCCGGTCATGAACCCCATCGGCGACTGTCACAACCACCTGTTCATCCCGCACAAGAAGGACTGTCGCAAGTACTACCTGTGCAACTTTGGCCAGCTGACCGAGCTCACCTGTCCGAATGGACTTGTCTGGAACGAGGACCACTGCGATTGGCCGATGAATACCAAGTGCAACGTCCCCACGCCTGGCTCGCCCGATGGGGACAACCAACTCATCAGGTTGGATTATTTACAAGCACTTTTAGATTAGCTCGTGAAAATTATTATTTTTTGCGTAAGCATAAATCGTTGTGATTAATACGGAGGTTGAACGAGATCAACAACGAAACACCCTCACGGTACGCCGACGTACTTCTGAAAAAAATCTCGACGATTAACAAGCAACTCACCGTGCGCAGTTGGAGGTTCCGGCATTATGCCGTAACAATGTATAGTCACCGATAGCTCATCGTATATTCATATTATATTCCAGTAGTACCAGCACACCGTCATCGTCGCCATCGTCGTCCAGTAGCCAGCCAACCGCCACGCTTCCCACAATCTCCACCACCACCGAACACCACCATCCTGTGGAATCAACACCGGGTGGGCCGACGTTCGGTGGCCGCAAGCTGGTGTGTTACTTCACGAACTGGGCGTGGTACAGACCGGGAGCGGGCAAGTATCTGCCAGAGGACATAGACCCAAGCCTCTGCACGCACATCGTCTACGGATTCGCGGTCCTCGACTACGAGGGCCTCGTCATCAAGATGCACGATTCCTGGGCCGACGTCGACAACCGGTTCTACGAGCGCGTGACGGCTCTGACGAAGAAGGGCATCAAGGTGCTCATCGGTCTCGGAGGCTGGAACGACTCCCAAGGCGACAAGTACAGCCGCCTCGTGAACAATCCAGCAGCGAGGAAGAGGTTCGTCCAGGACATATTGCGCTTCATCGAGAAACACGGCTTCTCCGGCCTCGACCTCGACTGGGAGTACCCAGTCTGCTGGCAGGTGGGTGTACACATCACACACGCCATTGTAAAACCGCATGACACGCGCGTGACCGAGTGGTTTGTGTCGTACGTAGGTCGACTGCGGCAGTGGTCCAAAGTCGGACAAGCAGGGCTTCTCGGAGTGGGCGCGCGAACTGAGCGAGGCGTTCCGGCCGCGCGGGCTTCTCCTGTCGGCGGCCGTGTCGTCGAGCAAGCGCGTCATCGACCACGGCTACGACGTGCCCAAACTGGCCAGCTACCTCGACTGGATAGCCGTGATGGCGTACGACTACCACGGCCAGTGGGACAAGAAGACGGGCCACCTGGCCCCCCTGTACTACTATCCTGGTGACGACTACGACTACTTCAACGCCAACTTTTCGATGCGCTACTGGATATCGAAGGGCGCGCCGGCGCACCGGCTGGTCATGGGCACGCCGATGTACGGCCAAAGCTTCACACTGGCCCAACCTGGGAACAGTGGACTTCAGGCGCACGCCCCTGGGCCCGGACAAGCCGGCGAGTTTACCCGGGCCGCCGGCTTCTTGGCTTTCTACGAGGTACGGTGGCTTTTTGTTTTATACGCTATGCACTTTTACGTCCCTTTGTATGATACCTACGTACACGTGATCGATCTCACGTGACTTGATGTACTTGCAGATCTGCAGCAAAGTCAAGCGCGACGGCTGGACGGTCGTCAAAGATCCGGAAGGTCGAATCGGCCCGTACGCCACGAGGGGTGACCAATGGGTTGGCTACGATGACGTATCTGACGTTGCTAGAAAGGTTGGTTTCATGTATACCTATCATTGTATCATTTGTTGTACAGGGTGGTGTAAAATTGATGTAAGCGTTAAACACTCATTGCTCTTCGAATCTCGTAATTTTTTTTACGATTTTGATGCGGTACTTAGCCATACATGGTGCTCCATTGCGGGCACGAATGAACAATATTTTATGTGAATTACCAATTGACCCCACCATGAAAAAATTTCCAGGCTAAATTCATCAGAGATTTGGACCTGGGCGGCGGTATGATCTGGGCGCTGGATTTAGACGACTTCCGCAACAGTTGTGGCTGCGGCAAGTACCCGCTGCTGAACGCACTCGCGCGTGGGTTACGCGGCGAGTACGATCAAATACAAGACTGCACGTAATTTTTATTTTCTCATCTTTCTCTTTTTTATATGCGCGTATAGGTATCATCGTGTGCCGATGGCTATAAAGAAAAAAATAGTGTGTTGCCGCTTCTTAACCTTTGCTCCAATCAATTCTTTTTGTCACGTTGCACATGGGGTTTACTCGTGCACGACGAGAGTCATTGCACACTATTTGTGCCTATGGATTAAAAAATCCTTGTAACAGTCGATCATTGAAAAAAGTGTATCAATCGATGTGGTGATTTTTATTATTCGTTTTATACGTAACAAAGTGCCGGTCAACACAATCAAATTGAAATATTTAATTAAAAACATTTATAAACAACAGTTGTTGTTACGCTCAAGATCCACAAATAAAGAAGTATGGGCAAATTGGACAAAGGTTAAGATGTTTCACTTTATTCTTTTCCTAGCATCTGAAAAAAAAAAAAAAAAAAAAAAAAAAAGTTTAATGTTAACATACGCAGCTTTTAAGTAAGAAAATCCAAAGATGCTTGGAAGATAATGAATTTTAGTTTTAACATGTTATGGTACACGTAAGATATACAGTAGCAATAAGTGATGTATGTGCTTTATATAACATATATTATATGTGTATACTTAAGGTTTTAGTTTTTAGTCTGTTGTAATAGCTATGATTATAGTCCATTCTTGGATTTTATATTATTTCATCTTTAGCACTGGTGTAACTGATACTGTTAATGTCATTATTAAGAAAAAAGAACAAAGAGAATAAAGAATGAAAATAAAAACAATTAACTGATCAGCAACAAAGGGTTTTTATTTACCAATAACCATCATTTTACATAGTTATCGTTTAGCATAAATTTTCGAATGTTTTAATTTGTTAATAATTTATTCTTACCACTACGTACGTGCGTGTATATAGATCTTTTTTTTCGAAAATGTCATTGTTTCGTATCCCATTGAGTAAAAAAATTTTACTTTATCACGTCATGTCAAAATAAAACTAAACGTATATTTACGACATTACTCTGTTTATAAGTACAAAAGTGAGATAACTTTTATTTAAAGGACTGTTTGAAAACTGATAATAATAATTATAATAATATTAATAATAATAATAATAATAATAATAATAATGATTAGGCAGTTGGTAAACTGAAAGTATGTTATTACTTTCAAAGAAAAACAGCCTATAAGTATGAATGTAACACAAAATGCAATATTTTAATTGTAAATGATTTTACAACGTCTATACATTTGAGTATTGTGTTTAATCAATATATTTAATTAAATTATAACCATCGATACCTTTTCATTATTGAATATGAATGCCGATTTCTCTAGAACGTGAGCATTATTTTATTATAAAATCAATCGTAGGAATCATAAAACTTGTATGTGTATCTTTATTTCATGCTAAACTCTCATCAGTTAATAATACAATAATTTTTTATTCAACGTGTAGAAAAACATGAATTAATTTCTGTGCGATTCTCCGTCAAGTACCAGTACGCAGTCGAAAAATTTGAAAGTAGCAGGAAATATTAAAAATAGTTGTTAAAATGAAGCCCCTTTACGACCGATATTATAAACTTGCATCTTTATTTATAAAGTATTCGGGATTATGGCCTGATGAATCATTCCAAACGACATACATAATGTTTTTTATTTTCATAGTTTCTATTTTGTCAATTTTAATACCAGAAGTATGTGTAAAAAAAAAAAAAAAAAAAAAAAAAAAAAAAAGTTGTCATACTTGCATTGATTGCTTTCAACACATTTATATATTCAATATATAATACATTGATATGGTAAATTTAGGTAGTAATGCTGTACGGATCCATTGGTACACAGATCACCGTGGTTCTTGAAAATACACTCGCAGTGATATTTTGCATTGCCAGTATACTAAAGTACATCATAATGTACAACAAATCATCACAAGTATGTTTATTGAATGACTCGATGGTCATATAAAAGCTTAAATAATTATTCAGTTATTTTTTTTAAGGATGTAATGATAGGTTTGAAATTTTATGCCAATAGATAAAATCGCTGTTCACCCATATGATAAAAGATTGGAAGTACCTGAGAGATAATACAGAGCTTGACATACTTCACAAATTCTGTAACCAAGGTCGGTTAATGGTGAACTTTTACTCCGGTGAGTTTAATTGTTTCACTAATTTAAGTGACATTTTTTTGCTTCGACAAATCACGAGTGACATTGTTTCCAGTTGTTTCAGTCATTGGTCTCGTGACGTTAATGGCGCCGTCATACGTGTCCTACGTTTTGATCAAATATTTTTCCACCGATACCAAAACGTATCCACCATTGGTCCTTGTTTACTGCGACTACGTTTTTTTCAATCAAACGGATTATCATTTTTCAACAACTACTCACATGGCAATAGTACAATTCGAAAATTTGTTCTTGGAAACCGCAATAACGTCAACTTACGTTATCTCCGTAAAACATGGTTGTGGATTACTTCGTATCGTGGGGTAAGATATTAAGATTTTTTTGTACATTTTTTGGACGAGGTACTTTTATACGATGATTAATATATTTAGATATAGATTAGAGTGTATTGGCCAATTTGAGGAAAGCGAAGGTAATTACTCGATGGACAATCGCAAAGAAGTTAAAGAAAATTTAAAAGCCATCATGATTTTGCATAATCGAATATTGAGGTAGTATAAAATAATTAGAAAAAAAGGCACAAATAATACATCCATCCACAGCAACAATTTTAATTATAACATATATACATGTTTGATAATTTTTCCTATAAAGTAAAAAATAACAACCGTTAGTCATAATTTGGCATAATTTTTTTTTTTTTTTTTTTTACTTAAACATTATTTTTAGAACTTCTCCGTCTATAAACTTTTGTTCGGGCATTACACAACCGTGCGACATATTTAATATTTTTTTTGTCAAGACGCAGTAAACAGATTTGTTTGCAACCATCCTGAAGAACGAATATTTTTTTACACCTTTATTTAAAAACATCACACACAAGCCAATGCAATTTTCCATGTCCTAAATTAAATAGAAGTTTTATTGCACGATACTGTAATAAGTATGAAGCATTTTTATGGAACAGTCGTTTCATATTATTTTATTATAGGCATACCAAACAAATAGACGCTGCATTCTGCGAAATCATTGCCATACTACAATTGTTGGCAACTATTTCAATGGCGATGACATATTTTTATGTAATTAAATAGTTTATCTATCAATTAAAAATCACCCAAGTATTGAAGATGTAATTCCAAAAATTAATTTTAGTCGTTTTGCATTCCCAATACTTTTGTAAAAAGTTTGAAAGGCGCCTACTTTATGCTCGGTTTAATGATATATTGTTTATACATACATCTCATTGGTCAAATGCTCGTTAACAGCAGCGAGAATGTTTTTTATTTTTCGTAAGTTCTAAATATGTAGTTGTTGTTTGAAATATAAAGTGCTGGCAAAAAAAAAAAAAAAAAAAAAAAATGTTGTTAATTGTGTTGTAGATATTGCAACAATTGGTACCTGATTTCCCCGAGAGACAGAATGTTACTAAAGTTGCTCATGCGTAGCTCAATAGAGCCGATTCAACTTACCGCAGGCAAAATAATGACCCTGTCAATGGAGTCGTTCGGAAAAGTTAATGACATATCTATAATGATTAAAAGAGGCTAACGGGTTTTTACACAGCTTCAATAATTATTTGCAGGTCATGAAAGTTACTGCCACCTACGTTACCGTTTTGACGACTTGTACGACAAAGGGAGATAAGAATATGCTAGAATTATCCGGGTGAGGGCACGACATTACAGATTTTAGATGATCATAGTTCAGCACAACCATAGTGTAAAGAGAACTTTTTTATGGTAATGCGTGTATTGTGGAGGTTCTTTGTCATAACTGATCAATAAATATCGTATCAGTAGTTTTTAAGTTTAGTTATTTAATGCAAAAATATTTTTTCGTATTCGTTGTGATGTTTATTGAAAATAACAAGAATAAAAAGAGAAGGAGGAAGAGTCGAAGGAGGCTGTGTGCCAATAAATTGGCAAATATTTTTCTAAGCAAGTTATTTTAATTTTAAAAATCAGAATAGTTGTTTTTTACATGGTTTTAGGATAAATTTATTTGTCAACGGATACAAATACACTGTAAATGAGATGGCAAAATTCTTGAAATAATTAATATGTTTTGTTTTCATGATTACTTATTTCGTTAAGATTGAGGCAATTCATTGACAAGAAAAGACTTTATACGTCAACTGATGAGATTGCATTCATACATTAGTAAATTAGTGCTATCTGTGTTCTGCGCACATGAAGAATAGATCGACTGTATTTTTGCAAAAAAATTCAGGCAAACGATAATACGACGTATACAAACGGTTCATTGAAGCTGAAAATGAATTGAATCAAGCAAGTATACGCGGGTGTATGTATATGTCAGAGTTTCCCTTGGGAGCACGGCATGGGTACGAGAATCCATTGAAAATATTCAAAATTGGGTTCAAGCACAAAAAATAATTGAAAAATTGTTTTGAAAAAAATGATTGAGAATATTTTGAATCGAGAAACTGTCTCTTTCTCTCTCTCTCTCTACTCGAGCTCATCAGTTCTGCGTCACTACCATACTTGGAATCTTCGTATTGGCAGTACTTAGCTCACTCGGGAAAAATCTGTGAAAGTTGAAGGACGCGCGGTAGCAGCTTCTCTGGGACAAGTACAGCTCAAAGTTCGGCTTGCGTTACTTGATCATGACAAATAATGAAGGTATTGATAGACTATTTTAAATTTTTTATTATTTTTGCTTGGACGTTTAAGTTTGTTTTTAATTGAAAGTTAGTGGGTATTGTTTGATGGACACAACATGAACTTGGAAAGTTTAATGTTTGAAGTGCAGTACGTGAAGTAAGCGCTTTTGTTACTAAAACTAATTAAATTTCTCCGTAAATTTTATGATTTTTGTTTTTTCAATTATAAATACATGTAGGAAGCTTTTCACTTTAATTTCATTTATAAAAAATTAGAATCCAATTTAAACGATTCCGATCAAAGATTCCATCGTAGAGCTTTTCCCAATCAATGAAAATTCTATATTGATGGTGCAATTATACAAACCTATTTCATTACATACGTATAACTAAATCAGGAAAAAATAATTGCTATCGATCGATATATTGTCGAGTACTTATGAAACTAGTAGAACGTATGCGGATGTTCAGATATCATTTTTTAATTTTTTAATTTTTAGTTTTCCTCATCTTGAATTTCTAATGTATATTTGTCAAATTTTGTGATTNAATTATCCTTCCTATATTTTCACCCCATGAACAATCTGTTTTCAACAAGTTGGCACGATGATAAATTAATATCAACCGATTGGATTTTTACGCGTTTTTAATAAAAACTCGAGAAGATATGTTATTACGAGCTCCGGTGGGATATTTTTTTTTAAGTGCGAAAGAATTCTAACAAAATAGCTAAATTTATATAGCTACTATTCAACTTCTGCAACGAAGATTCGTCGCGAGATAATGATATATATTATGACGATTGATTATAGATGGCAGACCAACGGATAGTTTATGTCCTATATACTATAGTAATCGTAATAATACGTCAAGAAATATTATTTCTAGTTGAAAAAAAGAGAGAAAAACCCTCTTTTTTTAAACGAGTACCATACAATAAGAAATGAGAAAAATGTGTTTGTTCGACAAATCGACAACCTTGACTGACGCTTTCATCGATGCGAACAAATACTCATCGCATATAAATACATTTATATCATAGTCTTATCTCTATAAAGCTAGAAAATAATCAAACTCAACTTTGGTTTAGTTTTTTTTTTTGTTTTTCAACTAATGAAATTTAATTATTTCGTCAATATTGTCCTAATTCTGTAAGAGGAAAAACCATCAAAGTTTAACTTGATTGTGTTGCTTGTATTTATTAATTATGTTTATACGTTTATATGTTTACGTGAGGTAATTGTTAACAATAAAAATAAATACGTTTCATATAATTTATATGCTTAAACTTTAAGTTTTATATGTAGTTACGTAAATTATTTAATAAAAAATAAGTATACCTACTTCGTTGATGCCTCATGTTTTATACTTGGTCGTCACAATACCCGAACAAAAGATTTGAAACTGAAGTTGGAGGCGCGCGTTCTCCCACAGGTGGTAAGCAGACGACACGACGACCACGACGGCTCGGCTATCGGCATTTGCCACTCGATAATCGTTAAATGACATTTTTCGCTTCCTTACTTTATATAAGTAGTTTTAGTTTAGCACATAGCTATATAGCCACTAGCTTCAGCAGAGTTAAAAGTAAACAATAAGAGGTGTGGGAATTATAAACACCGTGTCACCATAACCTTAAAAAACTGTTTTTTTTTTTTTTGTTTGTTGCCTACCTGTGATATACACATGTAACACATGCTCGTGCTTTTCAGCCTTATATCCCTCAAAAAATTTAACAATGTCTTCAGAAAGTAAAGAAAATAAGGATGAGCTGATTGTTAATAACAAACCCGCACTTGCTGAGGATTCCAATGTCTCGGCTCTATACATTTTCAAGTCCAATGACGAATCCAACGACAAGGTGAGTTTACCTAACTACCTATATCTACTGATTGCTCTAAGTATTTGACAATAAGCAAATTATTATAGCTTTCATTTGTTATTTTATTCTATTTTTTTTCTCAAACCATATTTTTTTATTACCATACATAAATACTTCAATTGACGTCAAGTAAAAAAATATTACTCTCGTGAAAATCGCGGTTCATTTAATTAAAAAATTTTTTCCTTTTTAGAACGCGTCATGCAAGGTATATACGTAGGACATTGTTAGAATGTATTAATAATTAGTCCCGTAAAACAGGAAGTTGTTCTAAAAACAATTTACACAAGAGCAATGCCAATATCTTTCACTTTTTCCGATAAACTAGTTTCGATTTGACATTATTAAAGGGTTTACCTTAAAAAATGCAAAACACGTTTCAAAATTAAATTGTTTAATAATACCTTCGATGCTGAGCATTACATTTAAAGAGATTTTGTATGAAATATGTTGCTAACAAAAAAAAGGTATACGTGGAGCACTATATTCAGTCGCAATCGGTTGGAAAATTGTTATTTTAATCAACGAAACCTTATCATTTTTGTTAAACGCGGTAGTTATACTTAGTTTTACACGCTGTACAAGCATTGAAAATATATCATGAGTAATGACATCAGCTTTGTATTTCAGTTTACGCGCGTACAAGATTACAAATTATTAATTATAATTTTTTATTATTCGTATTGACAGATAATGCTAATATCTTAATAGGTAATGATTTGATAAATTTATGCTCATTAAAAACACTACCGGTTGCGACCGAAAAAAAGACTACACTTTGATATACATTTTTTTTTCTTTCTGTACAATCGACTATCACACAAAAATTGCTTATCTAAACCCTAATATTTAAGATAGCCGTTTATTGAAAAGTCTGTTTCGGATATATATTTTGCATTTTTTTCTTATTAATCCTAAACCCTTCTAGGGTGAAGAGTGGACATTTTTTGCTCACAAAGGACTCGTTTTGCCCTCATACAAATTATTTTTAAAAACATTGTGAATTTTAATTATTTTAACTGGACAAATAAAGAAGACTCATCATGACTATTTTTAGATTTAAAAAATTCGCACGCTATAAGTAGTACGAATACGCTGTGAGCTGCGTCATTTGACAATTTGTAAATGTTTTTTTTTTTTTTTTTTTTTTTTTTTTTTTTTTTTTTTTTTTTTTTTTTTTTNATTTCAATGTTGCCTTTTTTTTTTTTTTTTTTTTTTTTAAGAAAAAATGTCAGCATTGCACATTTTGTGATTTTTAATGCACATCCAAAGAAAGTTGATTCTGCTATAGAGTTAATATTTTTTTATTCCGCTTTTGCGTCCATGTCATGCAAAATATTAATAAATTTTATTATTTTTTTGTAATATTTTTCTATACAAAAGAAATACCGTGTAATGATCTAATACATAGTTTCAAATTTGAAAACTAGCTTGTAATTTATTTAGACCGTCATTAATATTACATAAATATCATGAAATCATTCAATTTTTAGTTGAATTTCAATTTCTACAAGTTAAAATTCATCACCTGACAATACTCTGAGTTGCTAAATTTATGAGGTGTCATGTAGAACATAGGTTTACAAGAAATTAAATTACTTCACGCAATTCATTCAGATGATTGTATTCTCCTCTCATCTCAACTCCTTATTTGTAGCAAACTGATTCAAGAGTTAATTATTTGATTAGTTCAATCGAAAAGAACAATTGTCTGTAACTGGCCTTATGAATGAACTCAAGTGTATCCTCGCAGCATACTTTATTTTCGTGTATTTACACATTCATACATTTACAAACAGTTATTATTACTGTTATTATGATTTTTTTTTAATTATTTTTATTATTATTATTAATCCAGAGAAGCTCTGTTGGGAATGAAATCAAAGCTGGGGGATGGACTCCCATGCTGATGCTGGCTGGTGCAATATGTTGTTTAGGTTCAGCTGTGCCTGCTGGGTACAACATTGGAGTTATAAACAATGCCGCTAGTGTGAGTATTATCGAGCATTAATAAATAAATTTATTTCAAATTGACAAATATGACTATTTTTCTTAAACAGGTAATGAAGAGATTCTGTAACGATAGCATCAAAGATAACTATGGTGTTGAAATTAATTCATTCTGGCTTAATACACTTTGGTCCTCAATAGTGTCAATTTTTCTAATTGGAGGAGTTACTGGTTCCCTTATTTCAAGTGTTATTGCTAATAAATTGGGTAGAAGAGGAGCGCTAGCCATCGGAAATGTTTGTGGCATAATTGGTGCAGCTATGCTCTTTCTAGTACCAATTATACATTCAGTAGAACTGTTCCTTTTAGGCAGGCTGATTGTTGGACTTTCCGGGGGTCTTGCAACAAGTCTCTTACCGACTTATATGACGGAAATCGCTCCTTTAAAACTGCGTGGTGCTGTTGGGGTTCTATGTCAATTAGGAATTACCTGTGGTGTTTTGCTGGGTCAAATCGCCAGTTTAGAAAATGTCTTGGGAAACGAATTACACTGGAATTACATGTTGGCTGCATTCTCTCCATTATGCTTTATTGCCTTACTGTTTACTTATGCCTTACCAGAAAGTCCAAAATATCTGTTTGTTTTTAGAGAAGAGAAAGAGAAGGCGTTACACGGTGTGTAGTTGAAATAGATTTGTTTTTTTTTAACATTAATATATATTTTTATAGATTTTTAATGATGAATTTTTTCAGCTCTGAGCCGTTTCAGAAATATGGATATAATGCTTCTGAAAACTGAGATTGATGACTTGGAATCGGAATTGGCAAACAAATCTACCGATACCGCGTGGACAATAATAGATGTAATTAAAGACTCTACCCTCAGATTGCCTCTCATCCTAGTTTGCCTCTTACAACTTGGCCAGCAGCTTAGTGGTGTCAACGCTGTATTTTATTATTCAAAAATCATTTTTCAAAAAGTTGAATTGTCAAATGAACAGTCAGAATATGCTATTATTGGCACTGGCATAATTAATATAGGAATGGCTCTTATTTCTGTTCCTGTTATGTCTTGCTTTGGGAGAAGAACACTTCTCTTTGTAAGTGCATATTCGACCATTGGGTGTCTCGTCGTTTTGTGCGCCTCTATTGCTCTCATTGTAAGTACAACGAAATCTTTTTAAAAATCAAACGTTCACTCATCATCATTTTGATTATTATTACTTACAGGAATTTGGGTTCATGCGATGGGTGTGTATAGCAGCAGTGCTTGCTTTTGTACTGTTTTACGGTATAGGTTTAGGACCCATTCCTTACTTTATTGGTTCGGAACTGTTTGACGTTGGCCCTCGAGTAGCAGCCATGTCGCTCGGTAGCGTGTGCAATTGGGGAGGAAACTTTATTGTTGGAATGACTTTTCCATTTTTGCAAGAGTGGATAAACTCCTACTCTTTCCTCGTGTTTGCCACGTGCATTTTGGTTTTGGTGCTGTTTAGCAGGTAAAATACTTACCTTCACTGTATTATCTACTTACATTCTATACAATTTTTTAAATCCTTTTTTAATACATATTATTTATACGATTTCGAAATGTTCTAAAACAGTTTATATTTCAAAAACTAGAGTTATAAATTTTGTTCTATAAAGTATGATCAAAACTGATTAAAAACAATATTCACGGTGCATTTCCAGAAAATACTTGCCAGAAACGCGAGGCAAAACAACGACTGAAATTGCAGCATCAGTCAGCCAAGGACTCAAATCACGTCCACTCGAAGGTCCTGCTTCAAACGTAACATAAGTAGACAATAATATATTTTTTTTAACTTATAAATACTGTTTACAAAACTTTGGTGCTGGATTTTAAAGTTAAGTCGGTGGACAGTATCCTAAAAAAGTATTTGAATTACAGTACTTATATGCTCGAGTCGCTAGTATAAGAGACTGGATAAGCAATTTGTTCACCTTGGTAATTCTATAGGTTTTTTTTATGAATTTTTCACTGTTTGGATGATTCTTTTTTCTTCTTATTTTCTTTTTATTACACGACGAGAGTAGAGAAGAAATTTTTTTCAAGCTTCAGGTTATACATGTCGTTATAAAAATCAATTGTGTCTCTCTACAATGTTGCCTTTTTTTTTTTTTTTTTTTTTTTTAAAAAAA